TTTTTCCGTTAGAGAGACATTCAAGCTTTAAGCCTAATGGTGTTCATTCATTAAAATAGTCTTTAATTAATCAGATACGCCTAGTAATACATAGACATTTCCTCGCACGTTTCTCTCGTGACTCTCAAATCAAGTGAATGTACAACCCCACTCTGCTTCCACTACAAAACTACCGCATGGCCGAGAACATTCACAAATCTAAACTTTAATTGCAGATCCACATTCATTTTCATCATGGTAAATTGGGTCTGTACCTTAGTGTGCATCCAACTGAGGCTGTGAATGGTGATGAATGCTTTGGTTTTGGTGCCTTCTGGCATCCCCGTGACTCTTATACGTTAGCTGGGGAAAGAGAGAAAGAAAGAAGTTCTTTTAGAATCACAGGGCTTAATAACGTGTCTCTCTCCACAAATTTGTGGGCAGTCAAGCAGTTGGTGAACATATCTCTGTCTGTTGAGGGTTTCAGAGAACACGGAACGGAACTACTATTTCATTACAGTTGTTCAGATCACTGGAGCAGAAAACCTGAGGCAAGACCGCATGGCTGTGGATATGTGTACATCCCTGTGGTTGTTGTTTAACTGTTTTCGGAGGATGTTTGAAGGCTATATGAAATCGCCATTTCTTTGTTTTTCTAATTTTCTTAGTTTCTTGACGTTGGCTAATTAATAAAGGAATGTAATATTTATTTTATTAAACCTGTAAATGAGTGTTTATAAAGACATTGTGAAAGCAATCCACATGAATCAAGCTGTTTAATTAAAGTCATCTGAAGAAAAAAAGCAACATTTAATCTAGTAGGCTTGGTAAATGGAAAACTCAGCCATACTTGCTTGAACAAACCTTATTTTTTTTCATGATTTCTTTTACGATATTTTATGCATCAACGTTTTGGACTTTTAATGGAGGGACAGAAATCCCTCATGCAGGTTTCATTAAAAACATCTTCATTTGTGTTTTGAAGATGAAGTATAATGGTTTTGAAACAGAATGAGAGTGAGTAGCTAAATGATTGCTGAGAATTTTCATTTTTGGATGAATTCCTAACCTGCATCATGTCCCAAGAAAAGAAGACTAAAATGAGCTAATGATGCCTACTGGCAATGTTAGTGCCCTGTGAATCCATGTGTTCACCTTCAAAATCTTTCTTTTTAGTAAACTTTGTGTGCACAAACAAGATAGTCAATGCTGAAGTTCATGTGTAGAGCCCCTGGTGATACTTCGAGCACAGTTTTATGTTGTGTCGGCCTGTCGGGCCTTCTTAGTGTTTTAAAAATAGCGATTTTAATGCTATCATAGAAGTGCCCCAAGCACTCCCATTCAAAATGCAATTTGACCTACAGTAAAACGAAAATATGGTCAATCTTAAAAGTAGCGTTTCCATTCTAATTATACTTTTACAGGAAAGTTTGACTCGGATAGATTAACAAAAAGAGCCTAGGTTTAATTTTGGCAAGACTATTATTAACCAAGAAACTCTGATCGGCAAATTACTTAGTAGCACAGTAATAGCAAGTAGTTCACTATTAGCTAATCAATTATACAAAAAAATTTTTTATCATACCTCCCAGAGGACTACTAAAAATACTACAGGTTAATAATTCATGCGAATAATTCATAATGTATAATTAATTCTAAAGTGAAGATTATAGTAACAATGACTAAGGTTTTTTTTGTGTGTGTGTGTGTGTGTGTGTGTGTGTGAATGTTAATATTGTGTTACTCATTTGTTTCTGTGTAGTTATTCATTGACAGTGTTACGATCACCAGCTGGAGTATCCTTGTGAGCACTCCACAACAGATTGCCATTCCCTCGCAAACTACATCTCCCATAATCCTCTGCCTGGACTCATAAGCACTCATGGTTTTCACCTGTTTCTCATTTTCTCGTTTGCTCACTCTATATAAGCCTGGTTCTTTCTGTCATTCCCTGCGATGTCTTGTTTAGTGTTTATACTAACACAGTCTCATCCCAAAAAGTCATATAACTGACGTCTTGGGACGTCTTTTGACCATACGTCAATATCTGCCTTTTTAGGGCCCCCTTAAACGTTGGTAGATGGCGATCCCGGGCCATCATACAACTGACGCTTTACCTTTAACGTCAGTTAGGTGATGGGTTAGGTTTAGGTCTGGGGTAGAGTTAGGATCCCATAACCTCATCTACCGACGTTTAAGGGGGCCCTAAAAAGGCAAATATTGATGTATGGTCAAAAGACGTCCCAAAACGTCAGTTATATGACATCTTGGGATGAGACCGGGTTGTTTATACTGGTATTTCTGAGCAAATCCACAGTTCCTGCTTCTTTTTTATGTTCTGAATATATATATATATATATATATACATATACATATACATTTTTTTTATAAATCTATACATTTCACTGTATATAGTCTAAACTATGAAATAAATGTATGTACATTTTTAGAATAACACATTTCTACATTAAACACAACAATACGCCATTGCATTCGCGACTCTCCTATGATTAAAGGTGTCACTTCCGGTTTTCAAAATGTTTCAAAATGACAGCTGCGTGAAATCAGCGCATTTGGGTCCTCAACCTTCTTGTCTCTAAGCAGTACGTGACAGATAGCAACACTAAGTTGTCATGAAAACAGGACAAAACTTGCTTAAATAAAAATGATCTACAGTCCATAACAGTACTACATATTACAGCATAGTAAATGGTACCAGAGGTTATGGTTACGTTGAAGTTGTGTTTTGGATTTGGATATCTTATCTTACTTCTTTTAATTACGTATATGGCTGACAAACACTGACAAATACGCATAACATCAGGTTTACTAGGCTAGTGGATGGAATGGATGGAACATGCAATTCGATTACATAAATCTTAAATTTAGACCTAAATATTTGTGTTGTTAGGACTCAAAAAACAAGGCAGACTAGGCTTTGGAAGCTGAGGGATTGTTGTGCACTTTGAGGTGTGTAGTGACACGTTTGTGTTGTGATATGTAGTTATCATCCACAGCACCTTTACAAACACCCGAAAGGAAAATCGCTCAGTAACAATAACAAGCGTTGCCACAGGCACAATTAAAGGCTACACATATCTGCTGTCAGAAAGAATTAATGTAAGAATATATATACACACGCATTGTCATGCTCTCTTTCTTAATCTCTCTCTAGTTTTATTTCTCTCTATTTTCTTTGAACATGAACTTTTGGAATACATTCACATGTTACCTCTATCCACTTAGCAGATTACTCATGAAATATTCATCTCACATTCATCTGTGCATAAATGAGAGAGAGAGAGAGAGAGAGAGAGAGGGGGGGAGAGAGAGAGAATAGCATTTATAAAAGGGTTTTTTTTTTTGCACAGAGGCTCTTTTCCTGACCTTTAGAATAAACCTTAGGTTAAGTTTATCTTTCCTGTCCTTTAAATAACCCTGAAGAAGAACTGTTTATAATGAAAATAAGCTGCAGTTTGACAGAAACTTTTTTCAAAGTTCAAAGTAAAAAATTCAAACCTGTGATTCGTCTCATCAAGCTTCTAGTCTTCTTCCAGTCGTCTGTCATCTGTCCTCCTGATCCAGATCTCCTGTCTTCTTGTTCACTTGTCACCTGCACAGAGAATCCACTTCAGTCTTCATCAGCTAAGTCACCATCATCAGTCAACAAGTCACCATCCTCTCACCATCATCTGGTTCTCGCTGTTTCTCACCACTCGTGAGGAACCCATTAAAATAATAATAAAACAATAGATGTCATGACCCCTTTAAATTTGGAGATGGAAAAACAAAACAAAAATTGCTATAATGCCTAATGTGATTATTAAACTTCAAAAGGCTGTCTATCTGTATTTGTTCTTACTGGTCTATTAGTCATATTCTCTACACACAATGTTTGTGTACATTTACATAATAGTTTTCTTTGGTCATATCAGACTTTTCCACCTCCATGTCTGTTATCAGGATGATTTGTGGGAAGGATTCTGATTTGTTTTTCTGATTTATTTTCTCTAAGGGAGAGGTTTCATGGATTGAAAAAAAAAAAAAACTCTAAAACAAAAACAATAACCAGCATGGCAAAATTGCTGCAAAACTAGGTAGATATAACATAATTGATGTCGTACGTGTTTGTTTATCTGAAAATCTGTGCTTGAGTGACAATTTTGTACAATGTAAAAGCTATTTCAAGAGACTAAAGTGGTCTTTTGAAGAAGGAAAGGTGTTCTCTTACATTTACATTCAAAGCATTTAGCAGATGCTGTTCTCCAGGGCAACTTACAATATTGCTTTTACATCGCGTACAAGACCATTGTTATCAACACATGCCATGCATGGAATTTGGAATGCAATCTGTTGGAAAAGAAGTGCTTCTTATACAAATATAAAAAAAAATGCAAGATAAAAATTGAGTTGTAGGTCTGCATGGATTGGATAAATGAAGGAGCTTGACCTTTGACTGCCTTTATGCTAGCTATGTTGTGTACGGCCTTGTTTTGAACTTGATTCTAACAGTTATAGGGAGCCAGAAAAGAAAGTGTAGCAGTGGTGTGATGTGGGAGTACTTGGAAGTTCAAAATTTATTTTTGTCATCAAGAGAGAGAGAGGAAAACGTAGGTGGAGGGTTGAATAAAAGGTGCTGGAGGGTTTCCTTGGGACAGCAGCTTCAAGCTTTGCTTCATAGCTCTTCTTCAAGTTCAGAATATGAGTCGCAGTAATCTGGAGTTCCCTAATGTGCTATTTGAGCCCTGCTGGTTATCCGGTTTCATTTGAAATCGCAACCATTTCTATATATTTGGCCCTCCGTTCCATTCACATTGCGATGGCAAATTGACGCAGCAGCTTCAATAATGGATACATCATCAGGTTTTGGTATGGTTAGGAAATCTGAAGAAGATTTTAGTAGCTCCTTCAAATTAAGATCTTGGTGGGTGTAAAGAGGGCTAAGCTGAGGAGTGCAGGTATAGAAATGAAATTTCAGTAGTGCAAACATGTCTAATACATGTTTGTTTTGTGGTCTACAGGTTTATACACGGTATGGGAAATGTTATACGTTTAATGGAAACAAGACATCACCCAAGCGGGTGAGGCAAGGCGGCGCTGGAAACGGCCTGGAGCTGATGCTGGATATTCAACAGGACGAGTATCTGCCCATATGGAGAGAAACCAGTGAGTGACTAATGCAATTTCTGCTATTTTGCGCCTCAGTTATAGATTGTATACTCTCAGAAAAAAAGGTACAAAAGCTGTCACTGGGGCTGTACCTTTTCAAAAGGTACACTTTAGTACCTTAAGGGTGCATATTGCTACCTTAATGGTACATAGCACCTAAAATGAACATATCAACATTTAAACTGTACATATTAGTACCTGAAATGTACATATTAGCACCTAAAATGTACTTATCAACAGTTAAAATGTACATATTAGTACCTGAAATGTACATATTAGCACCACAAATTTACATATTAGCACATAAAATGTATATATTAGCACATAAAATGTACATATTAACACCTAAAATGTACATATTAGTACCTGAAATGTGCATATTAGCACCTGAAATGTACATATTAGCACCAAAAATGTACATATTAGCACCAAAAATGTATATATTAGCACATAAAACGTACAAATTATTACCTAAAATGGACAAAAGTGTACCTTTTGAAAAGGTACAGCCCCAGTGACAGCTTTCGTACCTTTTTTCTGAGAGTGTATAGTGTAAATGACCTTGAATGACTTTAGGAATTATGCTACTGTAATATTGTTTCAAAGAAGATTGTTTTGTGTGATTAACCCTCTAAGACCGACGGTAGCGCCGGCGCTCCGGTTTGCGAGTGTCTGTTTAAGAGCCTATAGAAACTGAAACCAAATGGCTAGCTCAATCATTCTTTTTGCATACAAAACCAGAGATGTAACATGTTCAGATCAAGCCTCCATTGCCTCCAAGCCTGCGTTGTTTTCACCCTCTAATGAGTCTGTACAAATTACGTAATGTGCATTTTCCAAAAAAGAAACAACACAAAAATGCATTGCAATATATATTTGCACATCACCACATTTTCAATGATTCTCAAACGACTCGTCAGATAAATCAATCTCTCTAAATCCCTCCTTTCTGCAAGCTACTCTGTTCTGATTGGCTAGACAGCTGAAAAATGCCTATTACCATAACATCAACTCTGCTTGTCTTGAGGCTTCCTACACCGTAAACTAAAAAGACTAACAAACAATGACAATGATTGTACCATATTGTACCGAGAGCGAGTCCAAAGACGGAACATTGGAAGAACTATTCATTAAACCTGAACCTCCATCGCAAGGACAACTTGAGCAGGACGCTTCTCAGTGATATGCTACTCAGTTTGCTACCTCACCGTCAGCATGTCCATCAACAAACCGATTATTTTACTTGTACTTATTTATTTAATGAGTATTTTTTCTAATATATTGCGATGAACATGTGGAAACTGTATCAATAACAGTGCATGTATGCAGTGTATAGTGTGTATCTAGCGGTAATGACTGAAGCAACATAAACGTTGGTAAAACAAATCTTGCTCCGTGCTTAATCTTTCCTTAAAGTAGTGAGAATGACAGATAATATGCATTAATAGACACAGTTTTAGTTAATAGTGGCCCACAGCTGCTTAGCATAAGTATTTCAGTAAGATAATGATAACAAGAGTTATCTAGTTAGCAGGAGACCTAGACAATATCAAAATATCAACCTCAAAACTAAGTATTTTGAACACCATCTTTCAAGAGGAAGTGGTTTGTGAATCCTGCATTTAACTCTGAGATTTGAGAAGCAGTCGTCAGTAAAATAAAGGGAACACAGCAAACGTTAAGGATTATAATGCTGTGATATTGTGGTAAAGATTCATTTTCACCACTGATACTTCACATGCTCGTCCTTGGGCAGTGAAAAGCACAGGGTCTTCTCGACATGATGCTATCCAGTATCCACAGGAACCAACTGCCGGTTTGCGGTTCAAGTTTTCCCTGGTGTCTGGGCACACAAGTGCGCGGGCAATATTCTAATGTTTCGTCTTGATGTCATGACGAAACAGCTTATGACTCATTTGAAAAACGGTTCATTTCATTGACTCTGAGTCGGCTCTTACTTTTGAAAGACAATAACTTTATATACGGTGCACTTTCAGATTAAAAACTTAGGATGTTTTCATTCACACTACATGAAAGGTCATCTTCAAAAATCCATAATACGAGCCCTTTAAAGGTCCCATGACATGAAATTTTCACTTTCTGAGGTTTTTTAACATTAATATGATCTTTCTGTGCCTTTGAGAAAATGAAAGCTCAGATGGGCTGATCTTCAATCTTCCCCATATGACGTCATACAGGGAAAGGTTACCTCCCCTTTCTCTGCTTTTCCCACACAGAGAATTTCACTTGCCCATGAGAAAATTAGCTCCGAAACGCACGAGTGCGATTTGAGTTTTTCCTCGAGAGACATCATGGCGTGAACGAGCGAAGCATGGCCGTTGCTCAATAATAGAATGTACAAATGAACACAGGAGTATTTTTTTACTTCCTTCAACCAAGCCCAGAGGAACCAGAGGGTTAATTTTATTTTCAAAAGGTACATGTAATAATGGCAGAGATCTGACTAATATACTGGTGCTGGTGTATATATATATATATATGCATGCATATGCAGGTGTTGTGTAGAGTTAACTCTTGAGGAGTAAATCATTGGTTATGTGTAACATGACTTCAATTTACGAGGACATGGAGAACTTGGTCATTAAAAACATAAGCCACATTACAGTCTTATCTAAACTACAAATATTACTAATATAAATGCTAATACAGGTTTAAAACGATAGAAAATCAGAGCAACATGAAAAGGCAACAGTAGGCGAGCGTTAGCTACATGATATTAACTAACAGCATACGTAAACAATCCAAATAGGGCTGCAACTAACGATTATTTTGATAATCGATTAATCGGACGATTATTTTTTCGATTAATCGATTAATCGGATAAAAAATTATATTCCATTTTTTTGTTTATTATAACAAAATAAAACCCTAAAAACCACACTCTTTTGTGTGTTAAACAATCTACTTAATACAGACAACTTCATTATAAAGAGAAACAACAAATAAAATATATATATATGACCATAACCTATGACAAAAATGCTATTGTAAACTAGATTAGTGGATAACTCAGCAAAACTTAGCCTAGAAATATCACAAGTGCACAATAATTTATAAAATCTGAACATTTAGTGAAAAAAAAAACATTCCTTAGTGGGGAACAAATAAGAGACAATAAGTGTAGCACTAACAATGGTAAAACGTACACATTGCTCTTTGTATTGTTGTTATACATTCATGAAAAACATCGTAAAAATCAGATGCACAAGTTCAACTGTTTTAAATGTAAAGCACAGCTGTTTAGTGAGGAAGCAAAATATAATAGATAGGACAGAACAAGAAAGGCTATTAATAAGCTTTCATTGCGCAAAAGTATTATGACATGATCATGAAAGAGCTGCACAAAGTGCTTATGCTCATCGCGAGCGCTGAATGAACACGGAGTCACAGGGCGGCGCGCAGTTCTTCAGTGTCCGCCGCATTAAGCACCAAGGAAAGAGAAAGACATATTGACTGTGTATTACACCGTATCTATGCAATAGTTTATTGAGACTTTTCTTTTAACAGTTTTAAATTTCAGTTAGGCTACTGTGCACGTGAAGAACAATTATACTGCGCCGACTCTATAGTGTTGTGATCTAACAGACACTCAGTAGAAAGTGATTAAGTTACAGCAATAAAAGTCTAGCAAGATAGAAAAACCATCATAGACCTTTATCTACGGATCAATTATAATAATAACATTGAATCATCTTGGAAAGAGATCATCATGTGTTAACTGTTGTAACGCGACGGGCTGTTTGAACACCGAATAGAGAATGACTGACAGCCGCAGTGGAGGGAAAAGCTTAGGTTAACTTGAATTTAATGACTTAAATATACATTTCTATCTCACATTATACTATAGTATGGCTTCATAAAGTATACACGATTAACGTAGGTCACCTATTTTGGTTTCAAAACGGCGAATTTACCGAAAGGTGAATGATTTTCGTGTATGCTGCATATTGATAGCGGTTTCCTGATGCCCGCAAATTAGTTCAAACTCACGGAATCAAGAGCGCGCATGCGAGACAGAAGATAATGTGCTCCAAAACCGTCCGTGTTGCGCGCGCGAGACAGGGAAGAGCGGCGAGGGAGAGAGACTGCGTGTGTGCCTCATGAAGCGCATGTAAGAAGCGCATGTTCCATGTAAACAATCCCCGTGACGTAATCAGACCAACTAATCGATAATGACATTCGTTGACAACGATTTTCATAATCGATTATAATCGATTTTATCGATTAGTTGTTGCAGCCCTACATCCAAATAAAGTAACGTATACAGACCGTATATATCCAATGTAAACATGCATGGTAAGGTTGCTGCAAGATGGTCAAGGCCACGCCCACCCTACACCTTGCCCCTCCTTTCTCCTCCTCATTAGCATTTAAAGCTACAGACCCAGAAACGGCACTATAATTCTGTACCAAGGCTGAATTTTGGGAAAAGGATTTCGGATACAATACTAGGGACCACTAAGGCCTATATCAAAGCCTACAAAAAGAAGCATGTCATGGGACCTTTAAAAAAATATTACTGACCCCAAACTTTTGAAAGGTAGTGTTTAAAATTAGAGGTAACGTAATTACGTGTATTTGTTGAGTAGTCATGCAATAAGTAGGATAATGTCCAGCTAGCTGGTTGTAATCGCAAAATAAACCCCAACAGGTTTAACGGGACCCCAAAGCAGAGCGGATTTGCATAAATTGTCCTTCAAAAGAACAAACAAATACAGTGTCTGTCAAATGTAATGTTTTACCCATATACAATCTGTCCATCTTCAGACGAGACGACGCTGGAGGCAGGTATTCGGGTTCAGATTCATAGTCCGAACGAACCCCCTTACATCCACCAGCTGGGCTTTGGGGTCTCTCCAGGATTCCAGACATTTGTTGCTTGTCAGGAACAGAGGGTAAGTTTAACTGGAATAAAAAAAAAAGAAAAAACATACTCCTGTTGGCACAAAAATTATAATAGGTCTGAATTCAATACCAAGGCTGTTCTAAACTCTTGAATTTCAGACATTTTTTAATTAGGAGCTATTTCACAAAAAGTCGCAAAGATTTAAAGGCTAACTGGGATGTTTTCTAATTGAGACTGAATGTGTCAAGTATTTCACTGCTAGGGTGCACTCAAGCTGACAAAGAAGCAGAGACAGAGACTCTCTTTTAACGTCTGCTGTTTTTCTAGCTGACGTACCTGCCACAGCCGTGGGGAAACTGCCGGGCTTCATCTGAGCCTGTGATCCCAGGATACGACACTTACAGCGTCAGTGCTTGCAGACTGCACTGTGAGAGCACGCAGGTGCAGAGAGAGTGCAACTGCAGGATGGTGCATATGCCAGGTGCGTGTTGTATATAAGTGGGAGAGTTGTCATAAAATCTGTCTGTATCAGTAAGAACAAATGTGTCGTGTTGGTACTTATCGTGCCACCACACAGTTCAGCGTATAATTCTTCTTAATGCTGCTGACAGATTGGCAGCTGCCAGCTGCAGACATTCCTGGTTTCACTATGGCTTTCTAAACACGCAATTGCGAGTTTATATCTAATTAGGACTTTTTTCTCAGAATTGCATATCTGGAAAATATGCAATTTTCCCTTTCGGACTTGTCTCTCAGCCGCGAGATAGTTTTGAGGAAAATTTGGTTGTAGCTCATTGACGTTCCTATGATTGGAAATAGGTGTCATTTGCGTCAAAACAACGTTTAGCTCAAGAGTTATTGATCGGGGAAGTTTGAATTTGTGAATATATTGTCAACTTTACTGAACTCCTTGAGTTAAAATCATTGAGTTAAAGGGGTGATGAACTGAAAAATCAAAATTGACAGTGGCTGCATATTCTTCCTCTGGATTCCAATAAGACTGCATTAATAAACTTTATTTTTAATGACATTCCACTCCCCAGATAGCACAAGTCTATTTGATTTGATTTTTACTTCTGGAAGATGTATTTTTAAGAGTGTTTGCTCATCTGCAATACGTTGTTTCCTGTCAGATGTCAAATAGATGTTTAGAAGATGTCAGTTTGACATGCATTCTAAATCATTACATCTTAAAGACATCTTCTAAACGTCTATTTGACATCTGACTGGAAATGTCAAATAACGTCCGTTTTCAAAACAATTTCCCCCAAGTGCATGGACGGGACTCATTATAATATGCAAAACTGTTATCCACTCACAGCAGAAGGCGTTTATTTACAAGTCTTCAGTGCTAGACTCCCATAAAAACCCAGTGTTTTTCAGGTAGGCTTAAAACTAGGGTACAAAATAGCCTATTACTTTTTCATTTTGATGTTTTTGAATGCAAAAACCAAGCAAACGTCATAAGTTGACCTCAGACAACAACATAATAAAATTTAAAAAGCCAGTTCATGACCCCTTTAAAGGGGTGGTTGATTATGATTTCAATTTTCTAACTTCAGTTAGTGTGTAATGTTGCTGTTTGAGCATAAACAACATCTGCAAAGTTACAACGCTCAAAGTTCAAATCAAATGGAGATATTTGCTTTTAAAGAAATCGTTTTTTTTTTTTTAAGGACTACAACAAACGGCCGGTAGGGACTACACAAGCTTCCTCCTGGGTTAGTGTTTTACTAATAATTACTAATAAAGTTACTAATAAAAACCTAATAAAATTTACATAAACCTTTACATAAGAAAGAGCTGTTGTAGTCAAGCACATTGTGTGAGTCTGCTCAAACTGTAGCATCCGTCTTTTCACATGCAATAGAAAGTCACTCACTCTGTGAGCATCTCACAACAGTTCATATACAAGTGATTTTTAGATTATCCTGACAGAATATGCTAATTGAAGATAGTTACTCTACATCAGGAACATAAATTCATCAACTAACCTTTCAGAGTTCTTCTTAGTCTCACCATCTTTGTCTGACTCTGGTTTAAACAAAAAGCAGAACAGTTTCGGACATTTTAGCGTGTGCCTGCGTGAGGTAATCAGAGCTGCAGTCTTGAACGCACTCTTGAAACTCCGCCCACTGTGTCGGCAGCTGCAGCTCATTTGCATTTAAAGGGGCAAACACAAAACGTGCGTTTTTTGCTAACCCTCAAAAGTGAAAAGTTTAACATGCTATATAAAAATATCTGTGGGGTATTTTGAGCTAAAACTTCACATACACACTCTGGAGACATCAGAGATTTATTTTACATTTTGTGAAAAGGGAATTATACCACCCCTTTAAGCATTGACCATATTTCATTATATTTTAGTCCAAGTTCAAAATATAACTCTATAAACCACTCCATTGTTAACGTACGGAGCTGTATGAAACACTGCCAGTGGGACATTAAACAGGAAGTGTTTGTCTGAATAAGTTTTGAGAGAATGCAAAGGTTTTGCGAGAGAACGCAAATATCTTTGTGATCGAACGCAAAGCTTTTTTCCTCCCATCCCATATTTTTTCCACCATGTCTGGGATGGGAGTAAAAAAATCATTTTCAAATCTTTTGCTTTCTCTCGCAAAGATAATTCCTGTTTAATGTCTCACTGGCAGAATTCAAGGAGTTCAGTAAAGTTGTCAATATATTCACAGATTCGAACTTCCTGGATCAATAACTCATGAGCTAAATGTTGTTAAAACACAAATGGCACCTATATTTCCAAACATAGTAAGACAACGAGCTACCAATGTTCCTCAAAACAAGCTTTATAATATAAATTGATCTCAAGTATGGCTGAATTTTGCAGGGAAAGATTTTTGCGTTCTCTCACAAATCCTGTTGTGAACTTTTGTTTTCTCACAATTCCAAGTTTAAATATAAACTCGCCGTTGCGAGAAATAAAGTCGAAATTGCAAGTTTTTAACATCACTATTGTGAAATTAAAGGTTGCAATTTTGGTTTTCATTTTTTTATTCCGTGGTGGAAACAAGCTTAGTTCATTCTGTAGTTGGTCACATTTTTCACTCATCAAATATCTCTCTACAGGTGATGCTGTTATCTGCACACCGAGTAAATTCAAGTGTGTTGACAAGGCGTTAGGTAAGGTCACCCCAGACACATAAAAATACTGATGCTGTTTGATCAAATCAATTAATGCTTTCTTTTTTATTCCCTCATTTCCCAAGTTTATTCCCTCATGTTCCTACAAACCTGTATCATTTTCTTTGGTAACACTTTATTTTGATAGTCCACTTTAGACATTCAACTAACTATAAGTAACTTTGCCGCTACATGTCAACTAACTATCATTAGAGTATCAGTAGACTGTCTGCTTAATATCTGCTAACACTTTATTGTTTGTCCCCCAACAGATATTATACTGACTATAAGTAACTTAGAAACAAGTCAACTTGTTCTCCTAACCTGAACCCTAACCCCTAACCCCTAACCTAACAGTCTACTGACGGTCTACTGCAGCCTACTAATACTCTAATGACAGTTAGTTGACATGTAGTTGAAAAGTTACTTATAGTTAGTAGAATGTCTAAAGTGACAATCGAAATAGAGTGTAACCTTTTCTTTCATTTGCAGAGGTTATTTTTGAAGAACTGTTTTTTTCCAAACTATGAAAGTCATTGGGGTCCAAAACGACACTGGACCCCACTGACTTTCATTGTATGGACAGAAAAAAACTGATAATAAGACAGAGATTTTTTCAATATATCTTATTGCATTACAGGTTTGAAGCGACATGAGACTGAGTGATTAATGAGTGTATTTACATGCACTTTCTTTCACCGATTATGCTAAATAAACCAACAAGGCCGATAGAGAAAAACGCCACAATTAAGGTCAAATCCAGCTTACAGCCCATTACCCCGATTTCACCTGGCATGAAAACACCCTAACTTGCATTCTTTGAACTTAATGAAGTGTGCATGTGTCTCAGGAAAGCACCCTTACTGCATATTTAAGAGCATGCAACCAGAGTGAGTGTTTCGCTATATGGGAAGAGCAAATATATAATTCAGACTCTTTCTTGACCAAGAAATTATAAAAATGTGATCTCATCTCCAAAGGAGAATTGGTATAGTCATAGAAACTGAAATCATGAGTCTGTACAACCCGGACAATCACCACACATCCACAAACTACATTTCCCATAATCATTTGCCCAGACTAATCAGCCATGTTCACATTCACCTGTATGTCATTACCTTGTTAAACTCACCCCATATCCACAAGTTTCCTACGCCCCATGAGGGCTTGCGTCAAAAGTGGGCGTGTCTTCTGGTTCGAAGTAAACAAAGCGCGACTTGACATGCTTGACACTCGTTCATTCAACAGTTGACAGTCATTCAAGTTATAGCGATCCAAACTAGCTAACGATGTGAGAACACAACCTCAACGAAATTCAAAAGGGTGAAATAACAGTACCTTTACCCTCCGCAGTAGATGATTGGGAGTATTATAATAACATTATTAATAATCAATACTCATCAAGGCATGGTGACAGACAGTTGTGTGAGCTGACAAACAATTAAAATAAAAAATACACACTTAGTCATTGTGCTTTGGAGTTTATTCAAAATTATAAATGAATGTGCTACTTGAATACATTAACTGGCACATTTGGTATTCTGTCAACACAGGCTTTGATCCTGAGTTTAGGTGTAACATCAGTAGCGAACAGCCAAACACATGCTGATAGAGTTTATAGAATATTAAGAATTTAAACAAATGTACACAGGAACATTCGTCGTCTTTTGGGAGGTGATGGAAACTACAGTCGTTGGCAGGATCACTCTGATTTTGTTTTCAGCTTATGTTCAAAACAGTCACGTTTAAGCCACTGAATTAGTTTAGTCTGGTTATACATACAACCGTGAACAGCACATGTTGTCCCTGAGCTCCATAACGACATCTCTCATAAAGATTTGCGTCTTTAAATAGTAAAATAATTCTAGCCTCTAATTCTAATTCTAACAGCTAGCCTCTTCGCTAACTAACACACAAAATACCATTGGAATGCTACTTCCGCCGCCTTACCGGAAGTTTCACCCACTTTATTTTTTACAGGAGCACCCCTCGGAAACTTGTGGAAAAGCTTGGTTCTCACATTCATTCCCTGAAAAGTCTTGTTTAGTGTCTCTACTGCAATTCCGAGCATTCTCTCTGTTCTTCCCGTGTTCTTGGTTTTTGATCTTTTCCCGTTTCCCCTTTTCGCCTGTGTCCCCTGCCTTTGAGTTTATGCCTATTATCTGGATTACCCTTTCAAAATAAACACTGCATTTGGATTCTCAAGCTTCGTGTCTCGGAGCAGCTCGGAGCATCTTTATGTTTTGTTGCCGGGTCATTGGTCTGCATGTAAACTGGATTTTTTTTCCAGTAAACTTCTTATTGGTGTGCATTTATCATGCTCAATGACAAGTTTTAAACAGTGATCATCGACAACTCTATTAATTTCACTTACTTAAGAGTTTAAAACACACTAATGCATTTAAAACTATTGACCAACATAGAGAGCTCGATTATTGATGATAATCAATATTTCCTGTACACTTCTCCAGCTTTACTCCAGAAGAGCACGGGTGACTCATGTCCCTGTGAGACACCCTGTAATTTGACTCGGTATGGAAAAGAGCTCTCTATGGTTAAAATCCCCAGCAGGGGCTCCGCTCGCTACCTTTCACGCAAATACCAGAAATCAGAGGAATATATTAGGTAAGTCCAATGCATAAATGTCCACACACACACACAACCTCAGGGGTAATTTTTATTCTGCTGCTGGACATTTCAACATTATATAACCCTCAAACAGACCAATGAGGAAACATACCCAGAAACAGTTTTTCACAGAAAACCAAATGCTTCTGCAAGGATACTTGCTCAGCATTTTTGAAAAATGTATTTATTTGCAAAACATGCTTCTTTCACAAATTATATCGGCCTTTTCTAATAACTATAGCAGGAGTTCTATTGTCCAAACTTCTGGCTTGTTTCTGACAGTAATATAATGGGATGACAAAAGTAATTGTGGTCCTCCATTCACTGGCTTAATAATAGAAAAAATAAATATTGAATAGTCTGCTAAAATTACATTCTGTGGTTTCCACTAATTATTTTTTTTTAACCATTTTTGTGGCTAATCCTTTTCTTTCCATAATACAAATCATAATGGGCTAGTTTCCATACTGTTTCCTTGCAGGGAATTAAACATTTTTATTAAAAAATTTTTTTTATTTTTTTATTTTTTATTTTGCAGAGACAACTTTCTCATCTTGGATATTTTCTTTGAGGCCCTTAACTATGAGACAATAGAACAGAAGAAAGCATACGACATTGCTGGTCTGTTAGGTATGTTTGCAATCCCCACACACTACACAACAATTTGTACTATACCTATCTAATAGTCTGGCTTTTTAAAAGTGTGTTACTTTTTTCCCAGTCACTTTGGTTAGCTTTTCAGATCACAACTGAAATTCTGAGAAATACAAAACACAAAATGACCTTCGATGACTACATCTTTCAAATTGCATGAATTACATTTTTCTCAGATACAACCACAACCAAAATATACCGGCCAATTTATATGCTGGCATACTTTCAAAACTGTTCATTTAACTTAATTTCAAAACCTATACAAAACTGAATAAGACAATTTTTACAGTAATACTGTATTGAATTTGATTCATAATCTAAAAAAAATATTAAAGGAGAAGTTCACTTTTAAAAAAAACATTTGCTGATAATTTACTCACCCCATGTCATCCAAGATGTCCATGTCATAATTTCGTCAGTTGAAACGAAATTACGGTTTTTGATGAAAACATTCCAGGATTTTTCTCCATATAATGCACTTTACTGGTAACCAAACGGTTCAAGGTCCAAAAGACACTTTCAGTGCAAACTGCAAACAGTGCAAAGGGCTTTAAATGATTCCAGATGCACGTTCGTGACTCTCCTGTTCAAACTCATTTATCAAAATGAATCTTTTTTCATGTCATTTGGTTCATTCAATGAACGAAATGAACGAGTTGACTCTGGAAAAGATTTGTTCATTTTCATGAACGAGTTCAAAGAGTCACAAACGCACATCACAGAACAGAGCATGGCAATCATTTGAGCTTATAAAACTTAAACTTTGTTATTTTTTTTTTAAATGAGCGATCGTTTTGCTTGATAAGATCCTCATTCATCGTCTGGAATCGTTTAAAGCCCTTTGAACAGTTTGCACTGAAACTGCCTTTTGGACCTTGAACCGTTTGGTTCCCATTGAAGTCCATTATATGGAGAAAAATCCTGGAATGTTTTCATCAAAAACCTTAATTTCTTTTCGACTGAAGAAAGAAAGACATGGACATCTTGGATGACATGGGGGTGAGTAAATTATCAGAATTTTTTTTTTCAAAAGTGAACTATTCCTTTAAATAAATAAAAAAATTATCAATTTCATTACCATCTAAACCAAACGAGACAAATAAGGTTTAATTGTCTACTGCAATGTAAACATTGACCATGTAACATGAATGCAGTGAGTTTTAAACAGTAAGATGTCATTCTGGTTTTGAACAGAATTTTTTTATTTGGGTGGTTTTATTATGACTGACAAACTACATTTGTTGGGTGATTACCACTGCTTGTGTTATAGAAGCGTGACTTGAGACATGATTGAAGTGTTTTGTACATTTTGTATGCAAAATTGACTGCTGTACCAAGCTGAAAATTGGTTAGGAGAACATGAGTTTTGAAAATGTGGCAAAAAACATTTCAATCCAATCTCTAATTTATGTCATTGCTGTTTGGTTTTCATTTCCAGGAGACATCGGTGGACAAATGGGGCTCTTCATTGGAGCCAGTATTCTTACTATCCTGGAAATACTTGACTATATATATGAGGTATGTCTCTTCACTTCATTGTGTGAGGATAGGTCAGTCCCCAGACATTCACATAAACACACAAACAACACTTGTCCTTGTCTGCTTTTAATCTTTATCTCTATAGGTGGCCAAACACAAAATCAAGCAACTCCTGAAACCAAAGAAGAGTCAGAAACAACAGAACCAACAGAACTTAATTCAAGAGCAGATCCAGAGAACAAAGAACCTGCGAGAACAGAACCTGCGAGCTCAGCTGGCTGCCGGAACTATAGCTACAGTCAGATTTGAAGAAGTCAAAGTCAAGGTGAGTCACAAAAACAGAGATTATTGAAATGGCTTCTAAACTTTGCACCTATATCTGAAGATCTGCGTCATGCGATATGTTTGTCAACAGGCAGCTAATGACCTGGCTCAACCGCACAGTGCACATCCAACTTCAATGTTACCAAATCATCACAACGCACAACCGGTCTTACAGCAGGACTTTGCTTTTTAAGGGACTCCTCTTCTTCTCTCTATTTTATTTTTTCATATCACTGAACTTAAAATTGGGATCCTGAATGAACCCTGCACTGAATTATACATTTCTGGGGGGTTGTTTTTCACTTATAAAAGCTACAGCCAAAGCCAAATCCGGGACCTCATCATGTGAAATCGGCTCAAACCACTCACACTCTTTCAAGGCAATATGAGATGAAGAAACCACATGTGCTTTTGTTGATTTGTGTTTTTTTTCCCCTTCTGGATGGACCTATCATGGGCCTAAAAGAAGAAAGATTGTGAAAATATTGCATTCACACATAAATGACTGGACAAACAGGAACTTACGGAAGGGAAACAGAGAGAAGCAAACTGTGCAGAACAAGATTTCTGCGTGGTTCTTCTTGCGGTAATGTACAGTGCTTGTGCCATTTCACCTTTTCACATTTCTTAATAACATAATGAGACTTCTCAGTAGGAGAAAAGCTAAAATATACCACTCATTTTTCTGTGAGTAGGTGTTATGCTCTTTTTCAGTCTTATGTAACTTTTCCATTGTGCTAGAAACAGTCTGTCTCTAGGTTTGAAACACGGAGATCACCACTAGAACACACTGTTTGCTGAGATCATCTCTAGTAAAAATAAATAAATAAATGCATAACTGTAAACACTATTAAATAATATCCTTTGTATGAAAATAGGTGATAGAGTTTTTATTTTGTATTCAAATACAAGCACATTCAAATACAATATACACATTTCAAATTGTAGAAATAATTGAATAGCCATCATTTCCATCTGGTCTAAAAGTGTGAAAAGGACTAGAATACAGTTATACTCACTGCAGCTGAAACAGAAATGTCAGAGTACAAACTTAAAACCGCAATGAACTCTTCTTTATTTTATTTATTATATTTGTATGTCTTGAATAATATATTGGATACTGGTCACAAGCCAGAGCCTTCTGATTAAATATGCATAATACTGTATTTCCACAGATTAACCTTATACATGAAGACAGCATTTCAAGGAGAGAGAAAAAACTGCTTTTACTGCCATCTAGTGGGCTTAATACTAAAACACCAACACCTATCATGTTTCAACACCACTTTACTGTATATGACTTTAACATTGGTGGCGCCATAATGGAGGACATTCAAGGGTAGAGATGTCATATGGAATCATGCTATTCTGAAAATTACTGTGGAAATATTTGGTGAATAAAAGTTGTTTTTAACTGAATTTCACATGGATACACTGATGATGTTTTTGTGAGCAAACGGGTTGTGATTACACAATAATCATAATAATAATATTAATGACAATTTACATTGTCATACTTACATTGACACACTTTCTACAAATAGAATTAGAGCCTCTTAGGCTCTTCATCTGAAACCATTTTTGTTAGTAGCAGCACGGCACACACAGTAAACATCTGCAGTGTGATGCATTAACTATAATCTCATTATAGCATGTCAGTTCCACAGAGCCCAACACCTGGTACTCTGCTCACAAACATCCTTTTGATAGAGGAAATATGGAAAAAAAAAACACAAACCACCAAAACATCATTCTGACATTATAAATATACTTAAATTTTAGGTTCATGTGCAAAACAAAACAACAAAAAAGTATTTTTTTGTTGATTTGTTGGTTGGTTACATATTGAGAAATATTCCATGGTGAAGGAACAGGTTTCAAGGCACAGATTTTTACATGGACAATATAGTTAGGTTGCACCAGACAGCCAAAGCTAACGGCAAAAGGAAGTGTGGGTGGCTGGAATGCATTTCTAACATGGGCGGATTCAGAATTCTGGAAAAATACAAAATACATTTTTATACATTCGCCCTTTCATAACTGTACATTTTTGTTGTGAACATTCTTCATCCTCTCTTCCCTCAGCTGCAGTCACAATAAAAAAATACACTATAATCACTTAAACATTTCTATTCACATTCTCTTTCCCAACTCCGTCACTAGCCAACAGTATACTTCGGTTTTTACATGTATGCTAGTTTATGCGTATGCATGATTTTTTTTCTAAACCAGTTAAGCCGATTCCATTAGTCAACTTACGTAGTTAACTGTAAAGAAAAGTTCAAACTTCATGAATTCAGTCGAGAGGTCAGAAATATCATCCAATCCTATCACAGAAAACAGTAATAAAAACTGAGGTTATGTTTAGGGGGTTAGTATTTGTTTGAGGGTTAAGTGGTGGACACTTTTTGTTCCATACTTCCAAATGTGCATGCTAAATCATATTAAAACTACTACAGTGTCAAAAAAAAAAAAAGTAATGCACAGGTCTAGTGACCGCGACTTTACTGTGATTGACATGACCAATGAAAACTTTAGAATCTGCTGCGGGTCAAAAATCGTGTTATAAGCACAATGCATTTGACAAATTTCATCATTAGAACACCATGCATAGGCCAACACTGTGCATACAGTGCACAGCCATATTTTTAACTGTGCATACTCTGCATGCTTGTACCTTGAATTCTGTTGCAGTTATTAGTTTGTCCACAAGGTGAATAAGGAAACAGGTGAAGTGTACTTTAAAGGTCCCGTTCTTCGCGATTCCATGTTTCAAACTTTAGTTAGTGTGTAATGTTGCTGTTAGAGCATAAATAATACCTGTAAAATTATAAAGGTCAAAGTTCAATGCCTAGCAAGATATTTTATTTAACAGAAGTCCCCTTTCAAAGCCTACAGCGAACGGCATGTTTGGACTACATCCCTCTACTTCCTTAACTAGAACAGTTCTTTGACTAATCTCCGCCCACAAGAATACACAAAAAAGGGGCGTGGTCTTGTTGCGCTCCCCAATTTATGGTAAGAGGCGTGACCTTTCCGGGCAATGTGCGATAAGCTGCTGTCGAATCACAACACAGGAACCGCTGACACAATCAGAACTCGTTAGAAGGAGGAACTTCATAGAACAAGGAAGTCATCGGGCCGTTTTTTGGACAGTGAAAACAGCCGTATACAGATAAGTAAATTTTGTGAAAAATAATGTTTTTTTTTACACGTGAAACATGAACACATGTTATATTCTACCCTATCTCACGACCAATTCGTACGAATTCGTACGAGTGATTCAAAAGTGGCTAATTCGTTCTAATTCATACGACCTCACTCGTACGAATTTGTAAGATTTGTCTAAACTCACGTGGCGGTTATGTTTAGGGGAGGGGTCAGGGGTAGATCATTTGTACGAATTCATACAAATTGGCTAATTCGTAAAATATGTATGATTTAGCAAAATCGTACTAATTCGTACGAGTGAGGTCGTACGAATTGTTACGAATTAGCCACCTCGTAAAATTTGTACGAATTCCCGTGAGATCGGGTTGGTTATGCACACTGTAAACACAATCAAAGCTTCAAAAAGCATGAAGAACGGGACCTTTAAAAGGCTATAACTGCATCAGAAATCTCATACTTCCCAACGAGTAGACAAAAAACGGTACGTGACAAGAGTAGTATGTCCGAATTCACAGTACTCATAAAAGCGTAGGCAAAATGTACACAGATGACCCAGATGATACAAAAAACGCATTACCCAAGGCCATGGGAGAGGATTTGTGAATGGCAGTGAAGTGACGCAATTGACGCTGGTAGGACACATGACAGTGGCAACTTGGCGAATGTACTACCTCCGGATTACATTCATACTACACACGTACTATATAGAACATACTTTTAGCGGTTGCAGTTACTACTCAAAATAAGTACTTACTCAGAGAGTATGCGATTTTGGACCCAGACTATGAGTTTGGCTGTACGCATATGCTAGCATTTGTGTCAAAACTAAAGTACACATTGGGTTAAACTACACAAGTCTGTAAGGTAAAAACATTTACAAATAAGGAATGCAACATTAAAAACAATCCATCCTAACCAGGCAGCAACATGTGACGTGCTGCAATACAAAATTCTAAAATTGTTCAGAAAAGCACAGTGAAAGAACAGTATAGCTGTTTTGTAGTGCATTAACAGTTGCGAGTCAAGTACTCACAGAAAGATGTCTCGAAATATTTCTTGTTAAATATTCCTTTCAGAACACTTCTCTTTGAATTCAGTAAGATAATCAAACAGCTCTTACTAGAGACAGATGTTAGGAGAAGGAGGAGTGTTGCTAGCGGTTAGCCAGTCTACAGTTACCCCACTGTTGCTTCTTTGGAAGCTCCTCAGGTACGGTTTCCCTGCTCTTGTTCAAATATTAGCATGGCGAGCTGGGAACGTGACCCCTGGCCCTCCAGAGAGCTCTGGAGACAGCGGTGGAACATGTCCTCACTTAGCCGAGGATCGCAGGTTTGGTTGCGGAAAGCCTGGCGCAAAGCAGGCTCGACGGCACGGAACACGTGCAGTCCCGAGTACTGCACAAACATGTCATAAAGATCCAGGCTCTCCAGCAGATCTTCACTCTCCTGCAAATCCCCGGACATTCGTGTGCGTGAGGAAATGTAGTCAGAGTTGTAGAAACACGCCTCACCGAAGGTGTAGCGGTCAAAGTGGCCCGCTTCCCGGACCAGGTCGTGTGAGGCAGGGGGAACCTGGTCTGGATAAGCCACACTGGGGTCAAAGTCTTGGAAATGGATGGGAAAGAAAGCCTGCCAGCCACTGATGGTGTTCATGCGGCAGCGATTCAAGAACTCCGAGTTGAGTACTGTGTCAGCTGTGACCAGGAGGAAGAGGGTTTCTACCGGGTGCTTCCTAGAAACAATGTCCAGGATCCGCAGGACACCAGGATTTTCTGTCTTTAAGCTGATCCAAGAAACCTTGACGCTGGGATATCTGCGCTCAACTGCGGTGATCTTAGCCTTGACCTCTGAAAAGACATCATTTGTACTCACTTTTTGGGCCTCAGCGGGTTCATAAGTGAACAGGAAAATAAGAACTGCATTCTCACCAGTCTCAAACAAATTGAATGAAATGTGATCTAAAAAGTGCAGTGCTACATGGGCCTCATAAGTAGTGAGGGGCAAAAGGACGTGAACTCGTGTAGCCTCGGTGACGTAAGGCATGGGGATAATCTCTACCCGGCTGAGGGGTCTCACAAGGTGTACACGGCGTGCGATTGATTTCTGGTGACCAGACTCAGTCGTGGCCTGAACCTGCAGGTCCAAGGTGTACTCCATCCCTCGAGTCTGGTCCAAGCGCCTGTAACCATTCACTAGCCGTGGAGAGCTCAACCGTACGAAAGGGTTGTATTTTTTATTGAGTTCTTCAACAGCGACCCTGATGACATCAGTCACGTCATCGCGATCAGCACCATTGAGCTGGCATTTAGGGGCACCATCCACACAGGAGAAAAGGTTATCTTCGGTAAAGTAGTCCCAACGCAGTACCTCAAAGCGGCTTTTGGGTTCAAAGGGAGGTGTGATGCCAATGGGCCATAGAGCACTCTTGTTTCCGTCCGCAGCTACTTCACTGACATTCTTTATCTCAGACTGAGGGTGAAAAGTAAGGTGCATGAAAAGTTAAAAAAGCCATTATAAAAAATTCAATCAAAATACAATACACTGTATCTTTACAGGAGAAACAGCTTGTCACTTTCATCTTGAAGGGTTCATATTAGCACCTTAAGGGTATATGTTCATATTGTAAGGTATCTTATCCCTGCTGAAAAATACAGCATAAACCAGCATGAATTCCATGTTGGTCCAGTTAGGTTTATGGTGGTTAGAGCTGGTATAGTGCTGGTCTAGCTTGAGGACCTGCAGAAGCTGGTATTGTTGGTCTCAGCTGGTGTGGTTGGTGCAGCACTCTAGATTACCATTATGGTGATTAGCAAACCAGCAACCAGCATCCCATCCCAGCATGCAAAACATACCTTATACCGTTGACAAGCAATTCTGGATTTTTCAGCAGGGATAGTACCTTATGCTGCGTTCAGACTGCACAATATTTTTGTCTGACATTTTTGTAGACATGACTAGATGTTACGTGGTACCTACCGAATAGCTACCGAAGCAGCATGTATAGCTTAAAGGAGAACTCCGGTCAATTTTAACAGTGAGCTCATTATTTTGTACATTTGGAGTGCTGTCAGTACAGACAAAAATTGGTGTTGCCTACACCGTGTTAACGTCTTTTTAAAATTCGCACCCTGTTGACTTCAATGGGGCATGTTCTAAACCTGCTTTTAGCCTCTTAACATCCTTGATTTGTCATTACGAGTGCACAGCCATACGAGTCGTGTTATTCGTGTTAGTCGTGTAGAGTGACCACGGTCAATCTGACTGCAGTAGATATGAAAGATATGAATAAAAATGATGTTAATTCAGTCAGCGCACATACCTCTCTTTGCTTCCTGTTTTCGGTCGAAGCCCACAGTAGTCGATTGTCGATCTCACGCGCAAGATCATTAGTGAATATCATTTCAAACCTCCGTGTGTTCAACATCTGATTCGGATGAACTATCCATTTGAGCTGATATTCTCAGAACACCACACAGTGGTAGGTTTTAGATGATATTCACCAATGATCTCGTGCGTGAACTCGACAATCGACTACTGTGGGCTTCGACCGAAAACAGGAAGCTAATAGAGGTATGTGAGCTGGCTGAATTAACATCATTTTTATTCATATCTTTCACATCTACTGCAGTCAGATTGACCGTGGTCACTCTTAATAACACCACTCACATGGCTGTGCACTCGTAAAGACAAATCAAGGATGTTAAGAGGCTAAAAGCAGGTTTAGAACATGCCCCATTGAAGTCAACAGGGAGCGAATTTTAAAAAGACGATTTCTGTACATTTCCAAATGTACAAAATTCTGTTGAGGTAGTCCTTTGACGAAACATCATAAAGGTAGGAGTAAAGTTGCCATAGCTCCACAAACCTTCTTCCATTGCATAATTTTACCTAGCAGCACCAATACCATTGTCTCTCTTTCGTTTCGCCATGTTTGAAAGCTGTGTACGGAAGAGCTTCTGTGCTCCTATTGGTCAAAATCAGAGATGGGACAGAACCCATTGTAAAGGACAGAAAAAAATTAAACATGCTAGTCTTTCTTTCGTGACATCATGAAGTGTCACAGGCACGGCATTGGTTATCGTCTACTATGATACACTTTGCGAGATAAAACGGTCGATTCTTTTGTGCCGATGCCATTGTCATTTATGAATCACCATGACGCCCTACGTCAAACCAAAATGGAGCTGATATCATGTAGTCTGAACTCAGCATTAGGGTACTAATATGCCCCCTTTACGGAAGTGTTTATCAACTCCACTCCTGGCCAACCCCCAAATCAGAATATTTTGATGCTTCACTAATTAATAGCTGATTAAACTCATTACTTTTTTAGTTTGTTTAATAGAGAGACATCTAAAACATTCTGGTAGGTGGGTCCAGAGGACTGGAGTTGAGAAACATTGCTTTAGGGCAAAAAAAGATGAGAACAACTTATTTAGGGGTAGATCGATTAGAAAGGTGTACCTTTGAGGGTACAGCCTTTTGAGTAAAGTATACAAAATAAAGAGCTAAATAAAACACACACATACATACATGCATTTTTTTAAGTTGTAAAGAATTAAGCACAACCTAACCTGCAGTTTTTCAATCTCCTTATAGGTCCTCTGCAGTTCTATTTCTGTAAAATGTTTGTGCAGACGATACATAAGTTCTGCACTGGTCACAGGATGAACAGTGAGAGCATTCCAGGATTCATCATTCCCCACTCTGGGAAGGTCCATTTGGCTTTCCAATGTAAAATAATTATAATTCAGCCCCTAAGGTAAAGCAAGATTGAAATTAGATCAGAATAATATATTGTATATGCTGTAAATATAATTTACATGTATTGTGGGTTTTTAGGCTTTAACATTTGGCACAATAACAAGAATGTGGTCATAGTTCCATAGACAGCACCTCTAGGTTAATTCTGGTCAGCTTTAGTCAGCAGACCCTTGCAATTTGCAGTAAATCCGTTTAATGTCTTGTAACCATGCTAATTAACTGCACAAATCTCAGCAGGTCTGCAGCTGGCCTGCCGAGAACAGGAAGAAGTACATCATTCCATTCAAGTAATCCTGGTGTCTGGACACTCACTTGTTTTATGCTGGATCCAAAAAGCATGTTCAGGTCTGTGTGAATTACCGATGCTTTATAGTTTTACAGTGATAATAATTTAGCTTTATCTGCTTCCAGCATGTATTTTCCCCCCTAAACCAGTTAAGTGCAAACCATTCTGAATGCCTGCTGAAACAAATACGAACCCCTAAACTTGGTAGAGAACATCCTCATCCTAATATGATACCCTTCCTGTTTGTCAATTAAATTTAAAACCACTATAGATTTTCAATATGATTTCAAAGTGATTTAAAAAAAAAAATTGTATTAATTAAATTCTCTCAAATACTCTGAATCTACAATGATTTTGCATTAACTTCCCATTTGTTTAAAGTTATCTTGAAATAGCAAATCCATTTGTATAGAAACAACCATTTAAAAACTAAAAAACTCATTGAATAAACGAATAAACTCGTTATTTTTGTTTGTTTTTTCGCACAAAAAGTATTCGCGTCGCTTGATAAACATATAGTTGAGCCACGGTAGTCACTTGGGATATTTAAACATTTTCTTCATTGATTTTCTGGGCCGTCAAGGGGCAGTCCCTTAGGAGCCAATGTGGTAGTTATACAGCTCTCAAATTTAATCAAAAATATCTTCATTTGTGTTCCGAAGACGAACGAAGGTCTTACGGGGTTGGTACAGCATGGGGGTGAGTAATTAATGACTTAATTTTCATTTTTGGGTGAACTAACCCTTTAAGAAACCAGCAGCCATAGCACCCATATCCAATCCCATTTAACACACCAACTCACAACACTATCATGTTTTTGTTTTGTTTTTTTGCTATTTTCAGTCCGACGCTCTTATTTTCATTTTCAAGTCCTGTGCCTCATTGTTTGAATAGCAAATGCAATTGCGTCCATTTGTGCGCCCATGGGCGTACTGGTCTGAAAACGAGGTGTGTTCAGGCACATTGTTAGCACGTTGGAGGCCACTGAAATAGACTGCACCATTGACCAACTGAAATCTGGTCTAAAGTCAATGGCGCAATATTTTTTAATTTTTTTGTTATTTAAAAGGTGCATTAGTAATGTGCGCCTATAGGCGGGTCACAACGCGTGTATACGCTCATTTCACGCAGATGCCATTTTGAAATCGAAAGCGAGGCTCCAGTAAGAATCCCGAAAGTACAGATAGACAACAATGTCTTGGACTACCAACCTGAAGCTGCTGCCGCGATTTAAACTATTAGATGTTAATATCCAATATAGCATATGTATATACTGTAGTTCGTTCCTAATTCTTTTTTTATGTTCTGAATATATACTTAAAAATTGGATTTATAAATTTCACTGTATATAGTCTAAACTATGAGAGAAATGTATGTACATTTTTAGAATAACAAATTTCTTAATTAAACACAACAATACGGCATTGCATTCGCGACTCTTTAGACCAATGCTTAGATCGTTAAAATAGGGCTCATGGCGTTATATACACTCACCGGCCACTTTATTAGGTACACCTGTCCAACTGCTCGTTAACACTTAATTTCTAAGCAGCCAATCACATGGCGGCAACTCAGTGCATTTAGGCATGTAGACATGGTCAAGACAATCTCCTGCAGTTCAAACCGAGCATCAGTATGGGGAAGAAAGGTGATTTGAGTGACTTTGAACGTGGCATGATTGTTGGTGCCAGAAGGGCCGGTCTGAGTATTTCAGAAACTGCTAATCTACTGGGATTTTCACGCACAACCATCTCTAGGGTTTACAGAGAATGGTCCGAAAAAGAAAAAACATCCAGTGAGCGGCAGTTCTGTGGGCGGAAATGCCTTGTTGATGCCAGAGGTCAGAGGAGAATGGCCAGACTGGTTCGAGCTGATAGAAGGGCAACAGTGACTCAAATAACCACCCGTTACAACCAAGGTAAGCAGAAGAGCATCTCTGAACGCACAGTACGTCGAACTTTGAGGCAGATGGGCTACAGCAGCAGAAGACCACACCGGGTGCCACTCCTTTCAGCTAAGAACAGGAAACTGAGGCTACAATTTGCACAAGCTCATCGAAATTGGACAATAGAAGATTGGAAAAACGTTGCCTGGTCTGATGAGTCTCGATTTCTGCTGCGACATTCGGATGGTAGGTTCAGAATTTGGCGTCTACAACATGAAAGCATGGATCCATCCTGCCTTGTATCAACGGTTCAGGCTGGTGGTGGTGGTGTCATGGTGTGGGGAATATTTTCTTGGCACTCTTTGGGCCCCTTGGTACCAATTGAGCATCGTTGCAGCGCCACAGCCTACCTGAGTATTGTTGCTGACCATGTCCATCCCTTTATGACCACAATGTACCCAACTTCTGATGGCTACTTTCAGCAGGATAATGCGCCATGTCATAAAGCTGGAATCATCTCAGACTGGTTTCTTGAACATGACAATGAGTTCGCTGTACTCAAATGGCCTCCGCAGTCACCAGATCTCAATCCAATAGAGCATCTTTGGGATGTGGTGGAACGGGAGATTCGCATCATGGATGTGCAGCCGACAAATCTGCGGCAACTGTGTGATGCCATCATGTCAATATGGATCAAACTCCCTGAGGAATGCTTCCAGCACCTTGTTGAATCTATGCCACGAAGAATTGAGGCAGTTCTGAAGGCAAAAGGGGGTCCAACCCGTTACTAGCATGGGGTACCTAATAAAATGGCCGGTGAGTGTATATATATATATATATATATATATATATATATATATATATATATTACCGAGAATTTACACATGACTGTGAGCTTGTTTGAGTATATCAATGTACCTGCCTCGGAATTTGAAAAATACTGTGAACTATTGAATATTTGGCCTCCCTGGTGCATTGAGCCTCTCAATATATAACAGCGCACCCTCTCAATAAAGCATGGGCCCTTGGGTAATGTGGTTTCCTGTCGAAACTAGAGACCCTAGGTGGAAAATGTAGTCATTTGTGACCAGCATAAACATTGCCAACTAAGGAAAACCAGCTACATGAAAAGTCTACTTTATCAACACAGGCCTGTTTTTAGAGTTTGCCAGGATGATCTGTACATAGTTCAGGCTCTAAGCCCCCCAATCCCCCCACCTCCTCCCTTCGTTCAGCTCATTCCGGCTCTCTCAGCTACATTTGCCCTGGGATAGATACTATTTTAGCTTGTGATTAATTGGAATCTCATGATGTGAGAAATGTAACTGCCTTTGTGATTACAGGGGAAAAGCAGATGCTGTCATGATTGCATTGCAACAAAATAGAAACAAAGCTAATGAAATGGAAAGTTGATGGAATATAAACAATGAAAAGTGAATGCAACTTTGATTGTTTTGCTCTGGATCCCATTTTTGTTCTCACGCTAGATTTAAAGGCATGGTTCATCCAAAAAAATGAAATGATGTCATTATTTACTCCCCCCCACATGTGGTTACCAAGGGATAGTTCACTTTGAAATTAATTTTTGATATGTTTTCACAAAAATTAATTTCAAAGTGAACAATCCCTTTAAACTAAAACCATAAAAAACATGTTGTTCCTTGAAATAAAATAAACTAACTGAAAGCTAGTTTTTTAAATTTGAGCTAGTTTCCAAGGCAACATTCTTCAATTTAATTTAGTTTAACTTGATGTACTGAAATAACTAAAACTCAAATAAAAAATAATAAAAGCAATATATACACGTTTTTTTAACAAATAAAAATGACAAAAACACAGCAAAATTATTCAAATGTAAAGGGAATATATAAATTAATTCAAAATATTAATACAAATTTCAATATGATACAAAAATAACCCTGGTTGTTACAACCTAGTTTTGCTTTCTTTCTTCTGCGGAATGAAACTTCAATCTGGTCTTTCAGAAAATGGATAAAAACAACTGAAATATTTTTAAAATATTCTTTTCTGCAGAAGAAAACAAGCCAATTCAAGCTTGGAAAGACATGAAGGAGAGTAAACAATAACAGACTTTTTAATTTCTTATTCCAATCTTTGAGTCCCAGTTAATGATTATCTCTTACCTCATATTCCTCCACACAATTCATGCCTACATACTCAATGATACAGCGACCGAGCCACTCATCAGGTCTGACGCTTATGATGTCAGTCCTGCATTGCTCCAAGAAAGGCTGGAGCTTCAGAAGTAGTGCACGGGATAGTAAAAAACCTGGTCCACTGTGGCAGTACCTTCCCTGGGTTTCACCTCCAATGAACTCTCCTGGGTGGCCCATGTAAAGCTGAAGGTCAATGCTGAGGTGGCTTACTAAAGTTTTCAGCCTTTCGGGCTGGGTATAGGTATCATCCTGGACAAGGTAGAACCAATCATACTCAGCAATGCGATGCTCTAGAAGATATCGGACAGACTGGTACATGTTTGGGACTGGACGCTCGTCACCGTGAACGACCACAAACATTCCATTAGGGAGTTTACGACTGCGAGTGCCTGTAAAAAAGATGAGCCGGCCATCCAGGTGGTGGTTGAGGGTCCGGTTGATGGCCACGGCTAACGTGTTTATGGTGGTTTTGGAGGTAAATACTGAAACAAAGAGACGTTCACGAATTCCAAGCTCTGTGCTGGCATACTTGGATCTAAAAAGAAAAAGATGAAGGATGAATTAATAACATGAAGAGTTAAGAAATATGAATTACAGCACAGTTACATTAGGAACTCACAAGCACAGCTGGGTTTGCTGTGTCAGTTGGTCAAATAAACCAACCCAACCATTTATAACATACCACACACAGAAGTTCAAAATAGGCAGTAGTCATTATTTATTCAACCCAGTGACAATCTAAACTTGTCTGCTGTCATTTTTTCCCCCATAAAACACAAAATAATTTTCTGAATGATATTCATTCAACTCTCTCCATAAGGAGGGTTAATAGCAACAAAAAAAAAAAAGACAATCCAAAATCTAAAACCATTTGATGCATAGCTTTGTGTGAGAAAAATTTAGGCCAAAGTTATTCTAAGAAAATTCTCTATGGTCTCAAACCTCCTTCATTTGAACAAGCATGTCACGTTCAGTTACGAGACAAATGAGAAATAATGTTTTCCACACAAAATGTATTTTTTGACTTCTCAAACAGTAGATACCATGTCCGTGCTGGACAGGCCATCCATCCAGGGTGTTTCCTTTCCCTATGGTCCTAGATGCTGGGAAAGTCTCCAGCATTTCCACGATCCTACATAGGACAAGCAGTTTGGAAAAAGGATGGATGGATGCAGATGCCACCATATCTGATATATTCATGTTCAAACACTTTGTACATATTTCACTGCCTGAAATGTTCTTTTAAACTATGTACAGTAGTAACTGAGAATAATACTTAATATTACCTGGAAAAGGGCAAAAATGGTTAGAGAGTCAAACTGGTAACCCGAAGGTTGCGGGTTCGATTCTTCTCAATACCGATTAATGTGCCATTCAGCAAAGGCATCTAACCCCCAATCGCTCTCTAGGTGCCACAGCAAAATAGCTGCCCACTGCTCCGTGTGTGTGTGTGTGTGTGTGTGTTCACTACTCCTAATGTGTGTGCACTAACTTGGATGGGTTAAAGGAGAACTCCGGCGCAAAATGAACCTTTGGTCTAATTACAGATTGTTACCTAGTCAACCGTTATCTGAGATTTGTTTTCATGATTGCCGAATGTAAATAGTTTTATCTCTAAAAACAGTTTAGCCTATAATGCTAGTATATGGGGCATAGAGTAATGACAAATAAAAATCGCTTGTTATTACCACTAACAAGGCTCAAAATAGCCCCACACTAACACGGTAGCATAATAAGGGTCCCTACATTCAAACCGAAGCATTGAGAACTTTGTCAGTGTCCAAACAGTTTAATAAGAAGATATTTTATACACACAGTCAACTTCGCGAATACAGGAAGAAGCCATCTTTGAAAAATAGTGTCTACCAGTCGATCTACGAAAGCCGATCCAAATGCGCTGGTGAGATGTGAATAATGTGATAAGGTGAGCGTGAACAATAGGCTGCGTGTACATATTGAAGAGTAGAAAATGGTTTGTGTTTGTGTTTCTTCCGGAAACAACGGACCATATGAGATTCTGCACAGTTCAACGCACTTGGATTGGCTTTTGTAGATCGACTGGTAGAGACTATTTTTCAAAGATGGCTTCTTCCTGTATTCGCGAAGTTGACTGTGTGTATAAAACATCTTCTTAATAAACTGTATGGACACTGACAAAGTTCTCAATGCTTCGGTTTGAATGTAGGGACCCTTATTATGCTACCGTGTTAGAGTGGGGCTATTTTGAGCCTTGTTAGTGGTAATAACAAGCGATTTTTATTTGTCATTACTCTATGCCCTATATACTAGCGTTATACTAACGTTATAGGCTAAACTGTTTTTATAGATAAAACTATTTACATTCGGCAATCATGAAAACAAATCTCAGATAATGGTTGACTAGGTAACAATGTGTAATTAGAACAAAGGTTCATTTTGTGCCTTTAAATGCAGAGGACAAATTCTGTGTAGGGTTACCATACTGTTAAGTGTTACTTTTGAAGTTACTAAAATAAGACTGTGGTAACTTTATTAGCAACCACTTTAAATATGAATAAATAAATAAACATTATTGAAGCTTCTTACACTAGTATTTACTAAAAAAAACTATTGGCCAAATAATTTTTGTCATTTTAGCACAAACTAAAGTAAAACTAAAAGTTTTCTACAATGTGTTGACATTATGAATGTTAAATTTATTTGTGTCTTTAAGAACACTGTTGAGTTGTTGAAGCTGTCATTGTAGTTCAGATTACTGAACTGCTGATCCTTGACTGACAGCACGCTTAATGTGACCTGTGACTAAGATCAGGAGCCTTACTCTATAAATAGACAGAGTCCTAGTCCAGTTCCCCATCCACAAATGTGCACAGGTATCTTTAGTTTAGCAGCAAACTTCTTGCAGAAAAGCTCAAAGAGGAAAAAATGTGCACTGGATGCTGTTTTATTTTAATAGTGTTTCCTTTTTTTTAAATTTTTTTTTAATTACTATCTTTTCATGCATGCATGCTCTAGACCGAACAGGCTCCATTCAGGGTGGGCACTGTATAGCATCACTGGTGGAGCTACACCTACCTGAAAACTTTTTTGGGAGGACCTTCCTGAGCAGGCTTGTTATAAGGCACTATTCTGGGCTCAAAATCCTCTTCGACATTGCCGTTGTTCTCAGTTGTGCCAGAGGATATCGAACTAGGTTTACGGGCCCCTTTCGAGCTCCCAGTCTGCCCTATGAGCATCTCTTCGGCGGGTCCCATCCAGTCAGAGTCGCAGGACTCATCCACCCAGGTGACGCTCAGAAGGCTCAGCGTGAACCCCAGAGAGATGCCCACAATAATCGGCCCGGTCGGCCTGATGAGAGAAACTAACAATGAAATTCTCATGCTTACTGTCGTCGGCATTAAATAGTGGACTGTCCGCTCCTCAGCACAACGAGGAGATGCTTTTAGGAGAACGAGGCTGAGGAACTGCGTCGCTCTCTCTTCACACCTAAGAGAGACGTGACTGTTGCTTTCTGACGTGTCATCGCTCCGGACTCCGCCCCTTTTAGATGTCAGTCAATGCAAATGTTGGAGCGCTGATGACTGCCATTCGGCAGAGTCATGGACGGGGGAGGAGACCGCAGCAAACCTATTATTATCTGCAGCTATAATTTAGGAGTAAAAGCGAATTCGGTCGTTTGCCCTGGGATAATTCAAGAAAAACACGTCTGACCTGGAAAGTTTAGGCTCTTTTGTTTCACTAGAGGGCGATCATTCTGTTTCAGACTAATAGGCCTACGATTGTAATTCTACATGTTGGCACATAATTATTTTAAACATTTAATAAAAAATAAGAAAACATTCTAAAAGAGAAAAAGGGTAAATAAGCATTGATCAATTGGTATGGTATGGTAGTTTATTTATATAGCACAATTAAATACAATTTACATTGTCCAATGTGCTTTACAATAGGCTATTAATAAATATCATAAAAACAGACAACAAAACAACAACAGTGCAGGTGTACATTTAAATAGACTACTGCAAGGTAAGTGCCTTACCAATTTAAAATAATGAGATAGAGTGTAATAATACACTCTCATTATTTTAATTATCAATTGACAAAAACATGAAATATCGGCTAATAATAATAATAATAATAATAGGCTACATGATCAAATGGCTATAAATGTCAAATGTTGACGTTTATAGTAGTTTTGTGTGATGTTTGTGAGTCCAGATTTTTTTTCTTTTTTCTTTTTATACATTAAGGGGAGAGTTTTGAGTAAATGTTACATACTGTAAAATTAAACAGTGATGTTCCCGTTCTGCCATCTAACATGCATTAACCTCATCATGTGAATCATATTTTAATCAAGTAGTGAAATATATATTATGAGATAGAATCTTGTACGAGATACAAGATACATTTTGAGATTCTTAATTTTCATTGTTCTTGATTGTATTTTCACTGTAATTTACATATTTTGTATTTGAGCATGAGCAGCTATCAATCACATTGATTCCAAGGTATCTTTTTTGATCTTCTTTTGACACACACACACACACACACACACACACACACACACACACACACACACACACACACACACACACACACACACACACACACACACACACACACACACACACACACACACACACACACAATCATGCTATGCCTTGCACACATATCAACTGTTCCAATAAATCAGTAGGCAAATAAATAATAGGCCTCTCAGACTTAAAATGTGGACAGACATGGCAATATACACAGCTCAGATCTTTCTTCCCCCTCGCCTCCCCCGAGAATCACATCTGTTCTTAATACTAAGTATACTTCCAGCCAGTGTAATTTAAGTGTGTTAATGATTAGTTATCTTGAAGTGAGCTATTTCGAAACAACCAATTTTGTTCTATTTTAGTTGTAATTAAATTGTAGTAAAGCGAAGTGTAAGTTTAAGTGTATTTAGTGTACTTCTGTGTATAAATTAAAAACTTCAAGTACTTTTCATATACTACTACTTTAAGTACAGTATATGCCTGTGTAGAGGGACTAATCACATTGATTAGTGATATTACTACTGTACTAGTACTTTATTTGTGTAAGAAGTACATTACAAATTCAGTGTCTTCAAAACGTGTATATATATGAAGAGTTCAGATGCAAAAGCCTCTAAGTGCCATTTGAAATTTTCTTCTAAAATGATCATTTTTATCAAGCTTGTATATTTAAGTTCAGTGATTTCACTTAAATGGCAATGAAGATTACCTATTAATTGTCATTTAAGTGAAATTACTGAAATTAAATTTACAAGCTTGATAAAAATGGTCATTTTAGAAGAAAATTTCAAATGGCATTTAGAGGCTTTTGCATCTGAACTCTTCATATATATATATATATATATATATATATATATATATATATATACAGTATATATATATATATATATATATATATATGTGTGTGTGTGTGTGTGTGTGTGTGGCCTATATTTTTTAAAGATTTATTTTTGCCATTTTTGCCTTTTATTAGGACATGACAGTTGCTACAGGAAGTGGTGGGAGAGAGAGAAGGGGGACGGGATCAGGAAAGGATTCGGGTTGCCCAAAGCACACTTCTATAACAAATAATACTGCTATACTTTGTACAAAATACTATTGTATAGTGTAATGTATTTTGAAAGTACTTTCAATGCATTTTTACAATGATCATTTCCAGCACATTGTTTAAATATACCTAAAATATATTTATACTTTTAAAAATTAAACTGAATTTTCCCTTATAAAATACATTTTTAAAAATATATAGTACAATTATTTTAAAGTGTGATAAAAGTTGTATTTTGAAAATAGGTAAAAGCTTGATGCTAATATAATATGTTTAAAGATATCATTTTTGTTAGTAGCCTATATTTGCAATGTACTATTGAAAAAGGGAATTTATTTCAAATACAATAAAATATACTTTTTTCCACTAGGGTTACTTTTGGAGTATAATACTACTTGTTTCCCAAAGTGCCTTTAAACTTTTGGAAATATGACATTTGATGTGATTCTGTGTGTGTACTTATACCTGTTTGCCTTAAATATGATAACAAATCCTGCAAACTCAAGATGGAACTCTGGGATACATTTGATCTACTGTAGCTGTTAAGGTGAAACTAACATCATCACACAATATTCATTAAAAAATGGACAAGTACAAGAGAACTGTAAAAATAGGTTTGAAGTATATGTAGTAGTTTTATTCTACCACTAGGTGGTAGTAAATCCTTAAATTGAGTGCCTTCAAATGGCCCCAGAAATTACTCCAAGTACTAGGTGGAGATGTGCTCATGTTTTGCAACATAGCTGTAAACAGTAACATGAACACAGACACGTGCTGAAATTCAGCTAATAAAATTATATTCCATCTTAAAAATGTTGTAAAATGGAACATTGAAATAAATGTGAAATGTGAGATCTACTGTAGATTCCATCTTGAGGTTTAGTGCACCACCAACTGAAAAACTTTAACTGCATACTGCAAAGACTTTCTGAAAATTTTATTCAGTTTCCCCCAAATATCCACTTGTTCATTTAAAAAAAAAAAGTACAATGAATAAAGCCATACGGGTTGATTTGAAGGTCAAAGGCCTTTCAGATTGTCCAGGCCCACAGTTGTGGTATTCACAGTAGGCTAAGCCATCATAATGTATGGGGCCCTGAGCCAGGCATTGTTCATTCACAGATCACAGTTTTCATCTGAATACTGAGGCTGTTTACTGTCTAAACGCAAGGAATGTATGGCAGAGTTTACTAAATAATGTCGCTATGCCACCGCCTCCGCAGCCTCCCTCGGAAAGCCCAGATCACATGATCGGATAGGCTTCTGTCTCTTCAACGTACCCAGTGTTATTAGCAGGGAAAGCCATATTGACATACACTCTCAGAAAAAAAGGTACAAAAGCTGTCACTGGGGCTGTACCTGTTCAAAAGGTAAACTTTTGTCCATTTTAGGTGCTAATATGTACATTTTACGTGCTAATATGTACAAATATGGACATTTTATGTGCTAATATGCACATTTAATAAGTACATTATAGATGTTAATATGTACATTTTAGGTGCTAATATATAATTTTTTTGTGTTAATATGTACATTTCAGGAGCTAATATGTCTATTTTAGGTCCTAATATGTATATTTTAGGTGCTAATATGTACCACTAAGGTACCAATATGCAGCCTTTGGGTACAAAAGTGTACCTTTTCAGCCCCAGTGACAGCTTTTGTACCTTTTTCTGAGAGTGGAGCCTTTTATTATGCGTTTCCTTCCTGATAATTACCAAGAGCGAGCTGCATGTGTCCAAATAGTATAGAATTTTTATAATTAAATGGAATAAAGGGATTTTATGTAAATTCATCACAAACAAGAAATATACAATAGGCCTAGAGTTGGTTGTTGTTACTGAAAATGTGCAAACAAATTTAAGAAGATAGCATTAAAAAGATAGCATTTTTATGTTTTGTCCTGAAATATTGTATAAAATTTGATAATTAAATAAATATTTAGCAGAATGTTTTCTGTAATGCGTAGCGGTAGGGGATGGAATGGAACATAGTCTGTGCAGTGGAAAAATCATTACGTCTATGGAAAGTCCCCATAAAACATGAAACCCAATGAGTGTGTGTGTGTGTGTGTGTGTGTATTGTATCCAAGCTACTGTCACAGTCTCCCAATTTATGAACTTACTATGCTGTCATTTTCATCTTGCAAGGATATATCAATGGCCATAAAAGACTTCTCAATTCATCGCAATATGAGAGAAAGATTAGAACTCTTATAAAATGAGTTTTATCCAAATTTGATATTACAAACAAGAAGGAATATTGAAATTTGATGGGAAGATTATTGGACATTTCAAATCTGCCCAGAAAATGTTCTAACAGACTAATTCAAGCTGATAACACAGGATACTGATATAGCTGTAGGGCCAAGAAGACTGCCAAGGTCAACACAGGCAAGAGAACACTTTATGAAAAACATCTCAAAAACGACAGCTGGACATCATAACACTAATTTTAAATGTAAGGCCTGATGAAAACGAGAAACAAAACAAAAACATAACGAGGCGAGTTTTCTGCTTGAAATCCATGGGAATCTCTGTTTCCAAAACAAATAAGGGCTGTGCGGGTTTACATCAACATGAGTGTCATGTAGGGTTTCTGCGCCGTTTGTTTACAAACTCTTGAACCTTTTGACTTGACAGGGATTTTTCTGACGCTACGTCAACAGAGGTGGAATGCGCGCGTGCCAATAGATGTTAATAAGATACGATAGACGCGCTGTTCAGAAGTGAGTCGCGCGGCTTCTAGTCGGTGGACGCTGACTGAAAACTTGCTTGTGTGATGCCAGTTGTTTTATCCCACTAAAGAAGAGGAATATTTGTTAAAAGCAGCAAGGATTTATTTGTCCTGTGCACCACAGTGTCAAAACTTAGTTTCAATCGTGTCTCAGCGGTACATTTAAAAAGTTTTCATGCTTTTCTCGATCATTGCTGGATATGATGCCAGTTCAAAGATTCGCCGACAAACCAGGGACACATCGTTGGAACAGTTCCAGGTAGATTTGACCTGTTTGTGGATCTAAATCCCTGGATGATGCCCTCAGTGCAAAAACACGTCCTATTGTTATTGTTTGTCCTCAATACGACTCTCATTCCTCTGCAACTAAGGTAAGCTGTGGTGTCTTTATCCCCGCCTGCTAATATTCTTGTTCTGTTTGCTTTATTGAGCTGCATTAAGTTTTATGAAGACGAATGCAACAAATTCAAAAACTTTCGTTTTGAATCAATTTGATCAAGTTATTTACACCAATAGACGTAAGAATGTATGACTTTGCCTTCAGGTTCAACAGGCCTTTTTAAATAACAAGAGGCAATGAAGGATGTGGGAAAAATGGTTTGTTATTGGGGGAAAAAACTGTGTGGGTCATGACAAAGTATGAAAGGAGGGAGGAGAGAAAAAGTGTGTCAAGTGAAAGAGAAATAATGCTCTTGAGTGAATAAGAATCACATTGCAGTTTTTTTGTATAAAAAAAATAAAACAAAACATTCAAGAATTTCTCTTAATTTCTTAGTTTGAGAAGACACTCAAATACTCAGTAGAAATCGGAAATGTGTATTTTGTCTGGATGTGTGTGAGTGTGTCTGTGTGGAAATTGATATATATTTGTACATGCGCTCTAGCTATTCCCATTTCTTTTGCACCACAGGGTGGATGGCAACCCTTTAGTCATGGATCCCAATAGTATCTGCCGTAAGACTAGAACTTTGGGAAGCAGACATGCCGACCTGTGCCAGTCTCAGCCTGAGATCGTTCAAGAAGTGGCAAAAGGTGCCCAGTTGGGCATACGAGAATGCCAACATCAGTTCCGCAACCGTCGCTGGAACTGCACCAGCCAGAGCAGAAACCTGGCCAAGATCCTGCAACAAGGTGAGGAACACAGGTGGAGCGAGTGTGGGGTTATGACCTTCCCTTGGCCATCGGTCAAAAATGAACAGGGGCTTTGGGCAAATTCACCAGCACATATATAGTAATAAAGTTAAACCTTTATGCACTATCCGATTATCCATTCCGAATTAGAGGAAAACGTATGTTTTGCTGCATTAGGTATGGATAAGGCAGGCTATTTATTCGAACTGGCTGCCACGCTAAATCACGCATATGTTTGCCTGTTCAAATTATAGTGGTTTGTGAACATAACCACTTTAATAACAAGAGCGTTTATTCTGTAATGTGTAGGTTGTTGATAGGCGACACGTAACAATTTCTTGACATTCTTAGTCTGTAGAGTTGGTTCACCATGCACCTACGGTGAGGAACAAAATAAAAAAAGCTTCTCATGATATATATGCATTTGGAACTCAAAAATGAAGATAAAATGGATGCAGTCAGCCCTCTTAACTGATTAACCTGTTCAACAAAACTTGTTGCAGATCTAGTGCTCCAATTGACTTCTATTTGTAGTTATCATTTGCATATCAGGAGTTCCTTTTTCCCCCCTCCTATGGGTCATAATTCCCCAGAACAACATTTCGATCCCCCATTGGGTTAAAAATGTAGTTTTGAACAAAAAGCACACTAATTTCCCATTAATCAAATACGTATTTCCCAGAAAGACAGTTGTTGTTTTTTTGGCTGGGACTTTTTGACATTTTAAACGATGCTTGTGCTGACTTAGTTGATTGCTTAGTCATTGCTGAGTTCTGTTTGGCATGTTTGTACATTTGAAAGGAATTTTTCTGGCAAGGATGGCTCTTAAAAAGTAAAGGAATGCTTCATTAACACATGTAGTTAGCCTCATGGCCGTTAGAGGGCGTGATTGCACTATGTCAATTTGAACATGATATAACATAATTGAAGAAAAAAGCAGCAGAGCTAATGCTTTTATTAGTAGCTTGGACCTTGTATATGTCTAAATGAGAGCGAAATGAGGATTACACTTTTTTTTTAATCCAAACATGACATGCCGATTGCCAAAGCTCATCAATTTAGACCTGTTTACATGTAAATTTGATACCAAGAGTGAGTGTGTCTTGGAGGAATCCTTTACACTGAGGGGAAAAATTCTCTTTTGGCAGTTCGTGGTGCATTGAGGCAGGTCTAGACAACAGAGATGTGTGAGGAATGTGAATCTGCTAAATGAGTTATTGTTAATGTGGCAATTCCTTAGATTTTTAAGTGATCTTAGAAGTGGGATGGGCTGTTACTCCGAAACAAGAGTTTAGATAGAGATCATAATCAAACGCATAGCATGATCCACTCGACAGACACAATGCACTTTTTCAGATGTAAGGTTTTGTATTTGGACAAACTTTAGATTTTTCCTCATATGAACTGTTCTCTAGATATCCGGGAAACTGCATTTTTGTATGCCATCACAGCTGCTGGGGTGATGCATGCAGTAACACAAGCCTGCAGCCAGGGGGCGCTGCCACAATGCGGTTGTGTGACCCTTCAGAGTTCCTCTCAAACTCACCAGGACTTCCAGGCAGAGGAGGTACCTATCCAGGCTTCACCTGTCCAAAATGGGCGCTGGGAATGGGGAGGCTGTGGAGATGATGTGGACTTTGGCAATGATAAGTCTCGTCAGTTCATGGACACCAGGCAGAGAAAAGGCAAGAGTGACATCAGGACCCTTATTGACCTGCACAACAATGAGGCAGGAAGACTGGTACGTTTACATTTCTGGGTTTGGAACATGGATAGCATAGGAGATCGTAAATATATTTTTTTGGATTCCCTTGCTTTAATAGAGAAAGAAAAAATAAACACTTTTGGGTTTCCATAATTTTCTAAACGAGTTTTTTGAAGAAAAAACTACTGGGAGATATATGGACTACAGCAGGCAGAAGAGAGAAATTTGTCAAATCTACATTCACTCCCTCAATAACTGAAGTGTTTACTCTTTTTTAATTTTTTTAAATTTATTTAATTGCACCATGAATTCAAAATTGAAAAATCTTTTTTATGCAATATTGCAATTATTATAATAAATGATATATCCTTGCGTGAAACAGAAGTTTCCATAGTCTTTTCTGATCTATATGATATATATAGGCTCCTTGAACAACAAAAAAAATGTAGCCCGGGACTTGATTTTGTCCATCGGGAGTTGATTGGATGGTTGTGACATGCAATTGCTGTGATGTCATATGAGTGACAGGTAGCCCCGCCCTCACGCCAGTAAACACCTCATCAGGGAGGGGAAGTTATTTTGATTAAAGATTACAAGGGCACATGAATAAAAAAGATGTCCACGGATAAATCATTTATTATAAATACTGCAAGATTCCATACAAAACAAATAATTGTCAGTTTTGGTGACTTTAACTTAAAGGAGTAGTTCACTTTTGAAAAAAAACTTTTGCTGATAGTTTACTCACCCCCATGTCATCCAAGATATCCATGTCATTCTTTCTTCAGTCAAAAAGAAATGAAGGTTTTTGATGAAAACATTCCAGGATTTTTCTCCATATAATGGACTTCAGTGGGAACCAAATGGTTTAAGGTCCAAAAGACAGATTCAGTGCAAACTGCAAACTGTTCAAAGGCCTTTAAACGATTTAAGACGATGAATAAGGGTCTTATCAAGCGAAGTGACCGCTCATTTAATAAATAAAATAACAAAGTTTAAGTTCTATAAGCTCACCATAATGCTCGTTCGTTGAATGAACCAAATGACTCGTTCATTTTGATGAATGAGTTCGAACAGGAGAGTCACAAACGTGCGTCACAGAACAGAGCAAGGCGACCCTTTGAGCTTATAAAACTTAAACTTTGATATTTATTTATTAAATGAGCGATCGTTACGCTTGATAAGACCCTTATTCATCGTCTGGAATCGTTTAAAGCCCTTTGAACAGTTTGCAGTTTGTACTGAAAGTGTCTTTTTGACCTTGAACCGTTTGGTTTCCACTTAAGTGCATTATATGGAGAAAAATCCTGGAATGTTTTCATCAAAAACCTTCATTTCTTTTCGACTGAAGAAAGAATGACATCTTGGATGACATGCGGGTGAGTAAATTATCAGCAAAATTTTTTTTAAAAAGTGAACTACTCCTTTAAGAGACTGCATGAAATGCTGGACAGATGCACGTATGAAGAAAGAAATCACTTTATCACTTTTCTGTCTTGTCGCGTGTGTGCACAGGCCATACAGATACAGATGCGAACAGAGTGTAAATGTCATGGCCTTTCTGGTTCCTGCACTCTTCGCAGCTGCTGGAGGAAGATGCCTCTCTTCCGCCAGGTCGGCGACTACCTCATGCAGAGCTTCCATACGGCCGTTCGCGTGATGGGTGGGAATGACGGTAAATCGCTTGCCCCCATTGATCCGGATAGCCCTCCCCTAGATGCAAACGTCCTCATTTATTCAGCTGAGTCACCTGATTTCTGTCAGGCCAATCAGAGGGCCGGTACAGAAGGCACACAGGGCCGTGTGTGTAACAGCACAGAGACAGGCCTGGGAGGCTGTGACCGCCTGTGCTGTGGTAATGGATTTGCAGATTACACACTGGAACATGAGGAAAACTGTCTGTGTCGGTTTCACTGGTGCTGTGAGGTTCAGTGCCAGAGATGTACTGTGAGACAGGACATCAGCCTGTGCTTGTGAAGTCCACTCGAGGAGATTAGATCTGTGAAAGACCTCTTTGAGCTAGACGGGCACTTTTGTTTTCTCTCCTTTACAGAGGAGCATCATCTGTGCAGAAGGAGGCAGCGACGTGTGAAAACAAGTCTGCTGGTTATTGCAAACAAGACTGAGCATTGTCTAAAAGTCAGTCTGCTTACAAGCACATGTCATGCTGCCACCTGCTGGTCCTTTATTAAGAGAAACAAGTGGATACAGAAATAACTGATTTTCTCCAGAGTTTTCAGAACAATACCTGGGAATAGACTGAGGTTGAAATTTGAGACAAAAACGGCATCTGATAAACGTTGGCCACATCAAATATCCGTATTTTCTTGGTATTTGAAAATGAACCAATTTCAGCACTGTCCAAGGTGCTGAATCTCTCACTGAATTGTTATCTGGCAAACTTAAACACACAGTCAGTTTTTTGGGGTTTATTTATGAATAATTTGTCTATAATTTTACATTTCCCAGCCATTTCTCTTTTTCCGGACCATAAATGACCTGCATTTGTTTGTTGCAAGACACTGAAAGGTAGTCTAAAAAATGTGCTCCACAACTAAACGAATTCATTTGGTTCCCATCAAAATGTTATTTAACATTATGAATCAACCTAAATATTACGTTACACCAACCAACAAATCTAAATTTGAGGTTATGATCAATGAAATATCGTTCCTTGTTATAATCGCTCTGACATGTTTGTAGAGCCAGAAGGATGCCATTACACGTAAATGAATGAACAGTTTTCCAACTTTATTTACGCCTCATATTCTCCGGTCTTATCCATGGCGACTCACACACGTATGTGTGGGTGTCGCCTTCTGGCATCTTCACAGACTCAATGTAATGGTTATATGGCTTTATATGGTAACATTTGCAGGTTTACCCTATTTTACAGTGCAACTCTAAACGTAATGCACAACGCTAATGTTATAAGACTCTGTTTTATGTTTGTCTAGAAATGAATGTCCACAAGGTGGAGCATAAGCATATCAGTGCTGCTCAAATGTCTGAGGCTACAGTAAGTAATGCACCTGTACCACTAGAGGTTAAAATGACCCTTTGTTTGTGTTATGGTATCTATACCTATTTAAAAACTTTCTACCATCTGTTTTCCCCTATTTTCTTGTTTTAGCTTTCTCTTTGCTTGACCGTTCTACCAGCTGTGCGACTTTGGGTATTGATTGTGTGTCTGCGTCTGTCAGAGAGATGTACCCTGCAAGGTGACAGGTGGAACACATACATATAGGCTAATTATGATGTACATTTGTTTCTATTGCTGGTAAAAATCCAGGAATACTCTCTGTACCCCTTGTATAAAAATAGAAATCTGAAAGAGACTGTCTAACCCACATACAGACTCCTATAAGATGTGAGTAGATGTATTTTAAGCTTCTCTGGTTGGTGAAAACAGACATCAGTCCTTTCACTTCGCATCAGGATTGGCAGATGGGGAGGCTTATCCCGGTTTACAGGTCTGTACCTTTAGTTTTTTTGCCCGGCTACACATTACAAGTCCTGCCCATTGCTCCCGCTGTCTGAGGCTGCGCGCGCAGTGGGATGCAGAAGGAGTGGCGGAGCGCGCGCGTGTGACTGAAGCTAGCATCGATTATTGCATAGGTACGGTAAACTGATCAACTCAACAGCTGTTTTCCCCACTGTATACCCAGTGGTCACGCGAAACGTAAATGGACGTGAACCTGTGACTCTGAATTCGCACCTCCCCGAGGCACTCAACGGGACGAAAGGCGAGACAGCGCATTCCGAAGGGCCGGTGGGTGTTGGTCGACAGTTGAAAAGATGGGCACGGTGCTCTCTATTTCTCCCACATCCAGAAAAGGAGGGATTCTGGATGAGAAGACGGATGGAGCTAGCGGCAAGACGGAGAAGAGCCTCAAGCGCCATTCGGTGCTAATATCGGCTCTGACGTGGAAGCGGTTAGTCGCTGCCTCGGCCAAGAAGAAGAGTGCCAAGAAAGTGAACCCGAACCCACCCGTTTCTCAAATCAGTAACCCCGTAGACCAGCTGAACAACGAAAATCTTAAGAAATCTCAATCAGGCTCCGAGCGCAAGACGAAATCTGGGCCACTTGCAGTGCCAGTCCCTACTGTACCGGATAAAAGCCTTCGATCAAATCAAACTCAGAATGCATCCCAGAACGGAAAGCAGCTCCTTTCGGTCCAACGGCAACCGAGCAGTCGTTCCATCATCTCCCCTAGACGAGTCATCGTGCAAGCCTCCACAGGAGAGCTCCTTCGCTGCCTGAGCGAGTTCATGTGCAGGAGGTGCTACAAACTCAAAGAGCTGAGCCAAAACGAGATCATCCTGTGGTTCCGAAACGTCGACCGGTCACTGCTCATCCAAGGTTGGCAAGACCAGGGTTTCATCACTCCTGCCAACTTGGTGTTCGTTTACCTGCTCTGCCGGGAGGCGGTTACCGAGGATATTTCCAGCGAGTATGAGCTGCAGGCCACCTTTCTCACCTGCCTGTACCTGGCTTATTCTTACATGGGCAACGAGATCTCGTACCCGCTCAAGCCCTTCCTGGTGGAGACCAACAAGGAGGTGTTCTGGGAGCGCTCCCTGCGGATCATTGATAAGATGAGTGCCAAAATGCTGCAGATCAACTCCGACCCGCATTTCTTCACCGAGGTCTTCCAAGACCTCAAGAACGAGGGTGGCTCGAGCGATACGAACGGGAGATGGAATAACAATCTGGACCGCTAAATTTGGCTCGCGTTAAAAGGAGAGAGAAGCTCTCTGATACCTCTCCACACCCTTCCTTCAAGGGTGAAATGAATGTAAGGCCCGACTGCTGAAGACGCAAAGAGTGTTTCACTCTATTGCTGGTTTGTGGGAACGGACAGGGGGATTTCGCCTCACCTCCGTGAGAGGGGGTTTACGTTATCACATGTGTAAAATAGGCTACAACCTTCATGACCCAGTGAATGTCACGAGCGCGACCTGGGGTTTCTTCATAGTTTACTTAATGCATGCTTAAAGAATTCTACTCGTATCATCATTGTGGTTTTTGAAGACAAATAATAATCGTAACGAGCTGTTGGTGCCGAGCTAAAAACCGAGAGATGTAAATTATTAGCTTGTGCGTCAGTGCTGGGGTCATATTTTTCTATTAGTTTCAGAAACGATGTTGTCACCGACGCTGAGCTGTCCGGGGTGCTGGCCTGCAACAGACACTCTCCTCCTGTCTCCTGTGGCGCCTGATGCTGTCTATCTGAACGTTGAATGTACTGTTTTACAACAAAACGATTCTCTACAGTCATGTGCCAATTGTCATAGTATAAAACGTAATGTTTTATATTGTATATTTGAAAATATATGAATACAAATACCCCCAGACTCTCTGCCGCTTCTTTATTTTTTGACGATGAAAAGAGGACAGTCACGTTGGTTCGTGATTGAAGTGTCATTTTTGATGCGTTTTTAATAGGAGCATAAATGATCAAGGTTTTGCTGACTTTGACAGGAGCTGGCGTAATATCACATGCAGATATACCACATGCTGGCTAGTTTGATTTAGGCTAATTGAAAAGGCTTTGTATTTACTTTTTTTGACGTTTTAACAAAACTCGTGTTTGATTTAATTGAAAATGCTTAGCATTTCCTTTTTTTTTTTAACGTTTTAACAAAACTCGACCATTGGTAAAAGTTGAATTTCAACCATGCACGAGAATGAGCAACAGTGTAGGGTTTACGTCATTCCTGTGCAGGCAAATGACTGCAGCTTGAGCAAGATAATCAGTCGGATAAGGAGCGCGTGCTGTAACTTAAATCAATGCAGTCCCTGAATTCAGGATTTTCAATATTTGTATTGGTGCTAAATCGTTTTATTTGAGTCTGGACAACAAGCACTTAAATTGAATCAATTGCTCTGTGTAAAAATATGTATCGGCCCCTTTTTTATTTAAGAGAGGTCGCTAGCCGTGGTGCTGAAACTTGCCTTCAGTTTCCGCATTAGTTAGGTTAATAGGCATACATTGATATTGGTTGTATGCAAACTATACTTCCATATCTATAAAATATGGGGGGACCTTGACCTTGAACGATTATCTTACAAATGACTCTCATAAATCACGTTTCAGAGGTTACAGTAAATTAAATATTCTACCATTGTAATTGGTCTTTCAGTCCTACAATTGGCTGTCACCTAAAAATTGGCTGTGTGTGTGTGTGTGTGTTAGTCCTCAAAAATAGCTTACAAATCATAACTTGTGTTTTTTTGAAAATCTAAAAAGTTTTCTGTGATGGTAGTTTTAGGGCTGTTGTGTAAGGGGATATAATATACAGTTTGTACAGTAGAACAATCGTAATGTCAATGGAAATTCCACACAAAACAGATAACAACTTGTGTGTGTGTGTGTGTGTGTGTGTGCGTGACACGGCTGGAAACCAACCACTGACATTGCTCAGTTTCTCCTAGTCCTCAAGAGAAACGTCTTCATTGTGAAAATGGCATCGGGGTGCATGAGTCATTGAGAGAGTAAGAAGCAGCTGGTTTGAAACGAGAGAACCCCCAGAATTTGTGAATAAAGCACGTGGTTCGGAGTTCGAACATTTGATTGGCTGGATTTTGGTGCAGTCTGATAGAAGTGTCATTGTGACGGAAGGCTGCAGAACCGGCCACGTGTCGGACATAGGAATTCTGCGGGCGCATTCCGCTCTCTATGGCAACGGCTATATTAGAAAAGGGTCTGATCCAGATCGAGCGTGGGATGAGAAAAGCTCGTACAATATCAGTCTATACATTATGAAACCGGACGCCCAGAGTTAAATGATTAGCCAGATACAATATAGTGTCAATATGCAATCAATGTTAGAGAGTGAAAGAGGAGAGGTTGCAGAGTCAGATATGAATGCTAATGAGCTGCAAGAGCCGTAGCTATAGCCCTTAAAGCGATATGCAATGAAGAAATGCACCAGCAAGCATGAATTAGGCGTTGTTCTTGAATTAACCTTCAATGTGAAGATCATTCTTGTTAAATAAGCCGTTTATGTAAGTGTAATACTCTTGTCTGTTGGATACGGATGCAGCTGTAGGAATGCGGTTGCCGTGGAAACGCCAGCAGCTGGAAGCCAGATCCAAGGACCACATAAGATGAAGCAGACAATTAATAATTTACAATATTTCTTGCGGCTTTCTATTTTACTAAAGATGACTGTCAAACCTTTGGTGGGAATGATTAGTCCCTGGCGAGTGCCAAAGGCTATCCTCTCTGTGCTTAATTGAGCTCTTTTTTGGTAATTAAATCCACACAAAATGATGTCTCTCTTGGCGAGTATTCACGTAAACACAGTCAATTTTTTTAAGACAAGTGAGTGAGATCATTTTATTATGATATAATTTTAAAAATATCTTTATGGAAATGTTATCATGATATCGATATCAAAAATGCTAAGTGGCTAGTAACATTGGAAAACCACAAGCCACGGTGGCTGATGAGCAAAAAAAAGTTAAAGGAGTAGTTCACTTTAAAAACAAATTGCTGATAATTTACTCACCCCCATGTCATCCAAGATGTCCATGTCCTTCTTTCTTCAGTCGAAAAGAAATTAATGTTTTTGATGGAAAACATTCCAGGATTTTTCTCCATATAATGGACTTCAATGGGAACCAAATGGTTCAAGGTCCAAACGAGAGTTTCACTGCAGTTTCAAGTCAAGTCAAGTCAAACTTTATTAAGATCCCTATTGGGCAATTTGGTTGCAGCACAGATATACAGACACAAACTGACACATACAGTACACATACAGTATATAAAAACACAGAATAAAAAATAATAAATAAAAACCTCAATAAATACCTTTAAGAATTATTTAGAAGTCTAATTGCACTCGGAACAAAAGAGAATTTGTATCTATTGTTTTTAGTTTTTGGTAGTCTGTAACGACGACCCGATGGCAGCATGGAGAACTCTGGATATAAGTAGTGTTCTCTATCTGAAATCACAGAATGGGCTCGACTCAAAACGTTTCTATTAAACACACCTGACAATCCTCTTTGCTCTTTACCTATGATCTTCCCACTGTTTTTGACTAATTTATTTAGTGAGTTTTTGTATTTGACACTAAGATTACCAAACCAGCAACTAATAGAGAAGGATAACACTGGCTCTATATAGGATTTGTAGAACAGTTCCATCAATATCTTGTCTATGTTAAAAGATCTCAGTTTTCTGAGACAGTAAAGGCGCTGCTGTCCCTTTTTACATATAGCCTCTGTGTTCAGATCAAAGCGCAATCTATTATCAATAATTGTCCCCAGATATTTATAGCTCTCCAC